TATTATACGGCCCTACATACCGCGCTCTAAATACTCTCTAAGTATATGTATATAGTATAGTATGCTTTATTAGCCGTACGGAATAGAAGTCTTCGAAAATCCCGTTAGTACTAAGGAGTTAAAAGGCCGGCTACGCTGCCGGCTACGCTGCCGGCTACGCTGCTAGGTCTTACAAAGAACTAAAAGAAGATAGACATTCTAGTTAATTTGTATTAGTTTGGATTTTTAGAAAAAGAAAACAAGGAAAAAAGGAAGAAGATTAAAGAACCTAATACTTATAGTTATAGGCATTATCCCTGTTCTCTAGACTATATTATATACCTGCTTTCGCAACTCTACCTAATACTCCTACTAAATATCCTTATACTCTACCTACTAGAAATTTAACTAGGTACCTAGACCTATAGCTGCCTCTATATCTTTTACTATCTTCTATAGGTTAAAGGACTCCTCTATAGCAGCCTCTACTTCCTTATATAATACGAAGTTACTGCCTGCCCTATCCTTAATATCTGCTAAATAACCTAGAGTTCTAAGGAACGAACTAGTATTCGGCCGTAGTATAGCGAGTAACTAGTGGAACGCCCTATAGAGCTGCCTTATAGCTGTTTCGTATATAGTGCCGATATCGAGGGAGGAGCTATCCTAGTACTTAATATTAGAGTATAGTTCAGTAGGAAAGTGTATAAACTTCTTATAGAGAGCTTCGACGGAAATCGATGAGTTCTGCCTAGATCTAGATAAAGATATTCTGCTAAGTAGTTAGGGAATTGAACCGTAAACGAAAGGATAAAATTCATACCTAAGGAGTGCAGTTTCCGAACTGAACTATAATGCCTTATATATATGTGTATATGCTTTTGATTAGTTAGTACCCTTAGCTGATTGTCTATAGATTTAAGGTTATATAAGTACCTTTATACAACTACGTAGCCTAAGTAGGATTCGAAAATTCTATAAGTACTAAGGACTAAAAATGCCGGCTACGCTGCCGGCTATACTGCTAAGTCTTACAAAGGGCTTGCTTAAAGCTACGTATACATTCGTACACTTCTTAAAAACCGATAAATTATATAGTTCGAACTAGCTACTTATATAGTTGCTTAGCAAACCAACCTAAACCAAACTAGAGTTTCGGCTTAGCAAACCAAACCAAACCAACCCGAACCACTACGGGGTCTACCTAAGAGGCTCGAAATAAGGGCGTTTAAGTGTAGAAGTTAGGCGCTTAAGAAGATATAACAATTAGTATAAGAAAGAGATATAATCTACGCGATTAGAAGACGCGTTTAGCACTCGAAGAAGTTAGATCTACCGTCTTATTTAGCAAACTATAACACCCGCTATACTACTATAGGACCGTTATAATAGTAGTAGCTAGGTTACTACGCGTAGTAACTAGGGCATAACAGTTGTAACTACTATACAGTCTAGGTTGTTATAAGCGTTTAAAAGAGGTCTAGGGGTTGCCTTATTAAGCCTTATGCCCTTCCGTTATAACTACTAATCCGCCGGCAAAAGGTCTCTAGTAAAGCTAGCCGAAAGACGCGACGCCTCGAGGCTAAACCGAGCCCTAGCTACCTACCCGAGCCCTAGTATACCCCGATGCTAGTACTATTATAGAATCGCCCTATATAGAATTACGTGCTCTTTCTACCTAATATAGGCTATTTCCGTTCTTAGTTAGTATAGTTAACGGGCGCGTAGCGCGTTACCTAGGAAAGAATTCTACTCGATTCTACCGTAGACCCTAAATTCGTATTTCTTCCCTCTTTTATAGTAGATTGCCTAGTAACTATTAAAAATAGCTAAATCTCTATTATACGACGAGTTTCTCGATAATCTTATCGCCGGCGGCGGTAGCGAAGACGCGTAATCGATAGATCTAGTAGTAGAAGAGATAGCGGCGGTAGCGGCGGCGGCGGAAGACGCGTAATCGATAGATATAGTAGTAGAAGAGATAGCGGCGGCGGCGGCAGCGGAAGACACGCAATCGATAGATATAGTAGTAGAAGAGATAGCGGCGGCGGCGGCGGCGGAAGACGCGCAATCGATAGATATAGCGGTAGTAGATATCGAGTTATAGAAGGAGGTTTAATTAGTCTCGGAGACGCGTATTCGAGGTCGCTATCGCTTACTATCGCTGCCTCGCAAGCGTATATCGCTGCCTAATAATAGATTAGTATTACCGCGCCCTTAGAAGTACCTATTCTCGCTAAAGGCGCGCTATCGTAGTCCTATACCGCGAGAATCGGAGTTTCCGTCTTATAGAGCCTTAGAGTTATACGTCTACGCATTCGGTAAGTCTACTAGGTACGAGTTTAAGCAATATAAGCCGTAGAAGAACAAGAACGGTATTAAATATCGCTACCGATAGGTCTATAGTTGCTTCGGCTTACTAGATAAGCGTACGTAGAAGTAGGATAAGAACAACGAGTCGATAAAGCAGAAGTCGACTTCGGAGAAGATAGGCTATAAGTTCTTCTTCTACGTAGTTACGGTTAATCTAGTATAACCCGATAGTTAATAAGTAATCCGGTATTCTACTAAAGAAGATTACTGTTTCTATAACTACGAGAAGGACGATATTGTCGCTCTTACTATATATAGGCGGCGCTCGAGAACTACGTAGTTCCTAGAATAACTAGAGCGCTTATAATAGGCGCGAATACTAACCTCGAAGATTATAGCCTACTTCCGCGGTCGTAGTAGTATAGTGCTTAAACTAAAGGATATACGGAACGTTGCTATAACTCGTAATATTGTCGCTCGATAGGAGATAAACTAGGCTTAGTGCCTAGTTAAACTGCTAGACGATAATAGCATATTCTACGACATTTATACTAACCCCTATAACGGTGCAATTCGTAGTATAGTTGCCCTCTACCCTAAGTTAATCGAGGCCTTTAAGAAGATACTATATACACTAATTATTAACACTATATACTCTACTAACATCTATAACCTCGAGCTTATAGATATTGTCGCTACTAGACCTATAAACGATACTATTAAGCTTAGTATTAGTCTTATTAAACCGAAGCCGGAGAAAGCGGAGTTTGTAAGGTTACTATAGTTACTACGGAAGGGCCTCGAACAAGCCGACTATAGTATGCCCTTCGTTATTAGTACTAATCGTAAAGAGTTACTAATCTACGCTATTAAGGAGGTTATACCTAAGGCTACTAATATCGTTTATAACTAGCATCTATAGCAGGATATACTAACGCGTGTCCGTAAAGAACGTAGCGAGTATAGACAAGTAAAGGGCGCTAACGGTTGCTAGACTAATAGTCCTTAAACCAGCAAGTTTCTATAGCTATTTACCTATACTATCTATAGTTAAAGCGAGGCCGAGTTTAACGAGAACGTACGGAAATTAGACAACGTATACCCTATGTTTAAGGCCTATCTTTATAACAACTAGTAGCGATATAAGACCTATATTGTCGACTACTAGACTAACTAAGTTCTATACTTTAGCTATAAGACAACCTCTCGGGTTAAGGCTACGCATAGACGTATTAAACGCTAGCTTAACTATAGCAGCCGCTACGACATCTTTACGTTATTTAAGAGCCTTCTTAACTAGTAGAACGAAGGGCATAACCGCTGCCGTATCTGCCTTACTAAGAACCTAAAGAGGTATAACAAGGCACTTACTAGACCGTTTTAGGCGAGCGTTTCTCGAGTTATAAGCGATTACTGCCTTCTTAAAGTAAGGATTTAATACTAACGTGCTAACGACCTCCTTCGTACTACGACTAACGATAACGGCAACGAGATTAAGCACTCGGCGTACTCGTATTCCTACCTATACTACCGCTATAACGACTACCTAAGCAAGACCTATAGTTATCCTTATAAATACGGCATTATAAAGCTTCTTAAGATAGGCGGAAGCCGTACTATACTACTGCCGAGTTACTTCTATAGACACTAGCTAATTAACTTCCGTAGAACGGTTAATCTATAAGAGCTAGAGGTAATCTTTAGCAACCGCAAACCTCTTACTAGCGGAGCTATACTGTATATAACAAAGCGCGCTATAATAGCACGCGAATTAGACGACCTAAATAAGACAGTAGTCGCTAAGCGATAGAAGATAGTAATAGCTAGAACGACCGACTTTACACTCGAGCCTAGCGTATTACTTACTTAGCTAAGGACGACTATTAAGTACTATAAGTGTGTTAAGAGCTAGTGCCGCACTTAATAATGCCCTTACTAGAAGGCTAATCGTGCGTATAGCTCTGCTTACTATCTAAGCGGCTTCGAGTGCTATAATCTACGAGTCGAGTCTTTACTTCTAATAGTACTAGAACCTCCTTCTAAGCTAGATTTACTCCGCCGAGAGATTAAAGACCTCCGAGTACGCGAGAACGCTCGATTATAGATAGAAGAATAACGTACGAGATAGCAAGCAGACTATAACCGCTAGTAGGCGGCATTATATAAGCAATAATAACGATAGGCTGCTTAGTAATAGCACTAGTAGTCGCTTATATAGCTAGTAGGAAGGCCGCTTTATTACTAGGTGCTATAGCAATAGCACTATTAGTTTACTTAGTAATAGTAGTATACTAGTTAGCAATAGTAGTATACTAGTTAGTAATAGCAGTATGCTAGTTAGTAACTAAGAGACTAGTATAAGCTAGTATATATAGCCTCGCGTAGTTATAAGGCGGTAGGTCGCAATCCGCTTAGGCCTAAGTAGATAGCTAATAACTAACAATACCTTTAGTTTTGCTATACTACTAATTTGCTAACAAACTTTGGCTTTATAGCTGCTAGCAGTAGTATTGTAGTGGTTGCCCGGCTGGCGGGGCCTGCAGCGACGCGATTATCCGCTTCTACACGCGATTATGTATAGAACAGCCGATCTCGTAATCTCGGGGTATGCTGGGGCTCGGGCGGGTAGCTGGGGCTCGGTTTAGCCTCGAGGGACGCGACGCGTCCTGCTTCCTCTTCCTCTCCTCTGCGCGAAATTTGCTAAGAAATCATCCATCATTGTCCTTCGAGAAGGTCGCTGGCGGCGCAACATGCACTTGCCAATACTTGGTGATGCCTTTCTCCATCTTCTCTTTTTGCTTACCCGACCTCGAATCTTTGCCGTACTCTTGGTGTGTAACACCGACATTGAGGACACCTTGTCTACTACCATCTCTGAGGTATTTGAGAAACCCCATGCTCACTCTCACGTACTCCCGCAGGCCCTCTTTGACATTGATCGTTGCCCCGGTCGTCCAAGACAGCAGTAAAGGCTCAATTAATGGCGCATCCGTAATAGAAGGATGTGACGTCTTCAAGCTAGTCATGAACCAGGTCGAGCCACATCTGTTCAGCATATCGATGGCAATGTCCCTAACAGTGTCGAAGTGTGGCCTTCCGTAGAAGATGGTATGGGCTTTGGACCAGGAGTCAGAATGTACAATAAGCAGAGGCACATCTATGTCGGTATTGAGCTTGCCGCTCTCCTTTCCGGGGTCCAAAATGATGCCTCCAATGGCTGGGTTGTTCCACGATCTGGCAGACGACGTCTTGTTGGCACTTTTTAGTGCTTGGAGCGCCCCAGTCGCCCCAAAAGAATGGCCTGCAATCGCGACTTGGGATAGGTCTAGACGATCTGCCCACGCCTGGAGATCCTTGCCCTCCTTCCTGTAGTTCTTGCTGAAGATCTCGCTGCCTTTTCCAGAATTCAGCCCTCGCAAGATCGAAACTGTTTCCTCGATCTCAGCGTCTCGGAATGCAAGCTTCTTAAACCTCCAGTCATCATTCGAGACCTCCGCATCTGGCGTCTCGGCTTGCAATTTGTCGGCGCCGAACAGCAAGACATTCCTCTTTTTGCCATCTGGTAAATGCACGATGGAACCTGGACAACTGCCATCTCTGTGCTCTATGGCCGCAACAACGACTCCACGACTTGCAAGCTCACCGCAGTATGCTGTGTAGTCTGTGCGAGAACTGACATCGCCATGAGAGAACACTACAAGCGGATACTGCTTTACCTTTTCATCTCCTGAGCGCATTAAAGGTACATCAACCTTGGCAGGAATGTCGATCGACCCTGCTAAGCACCAAAGCACAGCAGTAAACAGTGGCCTCGAGAGGAAGTTATTGAAATGGGCAGCGGTGGCATAGCCTTCCGCAATGAGACTAAGAGGCTTCGGGAACCACTTATGGTTGGCCTTGGCACTCTTGACTCGTTTTTCGACAGGATAGTACAGCGTAAAGAGTACAGTATCCAGTTGAAAAGCAGGAGTTTTATCTTTCTTGAAGACTGCGTCGACGACTTGGCGAGGCTCCTGAACAGGAACTTCAACGTCGATAGCCCCAACGCCGTAAGTTCCCGTGTATTTTGGGAGCTTCGAGGCGAAGAGAGGTGACCATACGACGTAGCAGTAAAGAATGTAGATGGCGATGGCGGAACAGAGTATATAGCCAACGGTAAGCCTGGGTCGGATCGAAACAATTGCTTTCTCCGTCCATGTTCTTGTCCAGGACTGTTGATTTTGAACAAGCCATCTGGGTCTCAGGGTCTCCATTGTGTGGTTAGCTCTCCGCAGCCACGATTTAGTCCAGGGCGAGGCGCGCTGAAGCCACCTTGGCTGTGCGGATAGTGATGCTGTGCCGTGATCTATGCTGGAACGGTTGTCACTCGGCTCGGGCAGGGGTGCATCCGGATCGTCAGGGAAGTCAACAAAGTCATCGTCGAAAGGCTCTAGCTCAAAATCGTCATGATAGGGAGTGGACTGTGGCATGTCGCGCTAGGATATACATGATATCAGGTCCAAGAGATGGTGGTTGATGGACATGATCTTTGTTGAAGCTGCCTGAGCGGGAAGTCAGCAGCTACAGTATGCGGCGATGACGTCAGTCGGGAAGTCGACGGCCACGCGCGGCGACGGCGGTCTTGGATGGCAACATTCTTTATCAGACCATACAGTAGTCCGTTTCACCACATCTGGCTCAGTAGACACGTTGTGTGATGCTACATCTGCACTAGCAAGCATACTGAACCCGCCCACCTGCCACATCGAGCAATATTGTCCGCGAGTCAATAGACTTTGCAGGTAAGGTGGCAGATGCGGGCTCGGGATGCACTAGAACTAGTTTCTAGTTCTATCACGTCTTGAGAAGAGGCCTCACTCGAGGTCACGTTACATCGCAAGGTCGTAGAACCATGGTCCAGAGAAGCCAAGAGATATCAAGGTAAATCCACGTCAGGTACAAGTCCTTTCTGTCCATGAACTGTCTCATCTTGGCTTCAAGCTGGGAGCACAAGCCATATGCCATGCGATCGTTGCCAAGTTCCATTGTGTTGCTTCACACTCTTTTGGGTGCTGCAAAGGGACAATTCATCTCGCCGCCTACCGATTTAAAGACTAGCAGAGGATATCTCAACTTACCCGTCCGATGGAAAGAGGTCCCAATAGGGTGAATCAGTCTAGCAATCATTCGCCCTTTGTTGATGCTAAGTCTTGTCAGAACATGCGAGCTCAATCCCAACGTCAAGTCATACAGCGGATACGTCGACATAGCGAGTGACCAACACATCTTTTTCTGGTTCTTCGAAGCACGCAACAAGAAGCCAGAGGATGCTGAGCTTACAGTATGGATCAATGGAATGTATCAGCTTGAAGCAGTGGCAGTGCTATGAGATCCTGCTAACAGTCAATCAAGGTGGACCTGGGAGTTCCTCAATGATCGGTCTATTCCAAGAACTGGGTAAGCTTGCATTCTTCGGCTGCTTGACAAAATATTGATTTGCGAAAGGTCCTTGTCGTGTCAATGAGGATGGTGAAGTCGTCGACAACCCATATGCTTGGAAGTGAGAGATCCAGTGATCCGACGAATGATCATCAATGAGACTGACTTGAAATTCCTCAGCAATGTTTCAAACGTGATCTTCATCGATCAGCCAGCCCAAGTCGGCTTTTCGTACTCACGACCCATCTCTGGCTACCAATCGGACTCTGGAGACATCATCCAACTGCCAAAGAATGAGTGTCCAGATTACGCTGCCAGAACTGGTACCTGCGGCACATACTCGTATCCCGACCCCTCGTGGACGGCAAACTCCACGCAAAATGCTGCACCAGGTCTATGGAAAGCCCTCCAAGGCTTCATGGGAGCTTTTCCGCAGTATTCGAAGACCGAGTTCAACTTCGCTACGGAAAGCTACGGTGGTCATTACGGTCCAGTCTTCAATGCCTACATCGAATCTCAGAACGCTTTGATTCAGAAGCAGACATTACCCGGCGCTAAGCATATCAACTTAAAAACAGTCCTGATAGGGAATGGCTGGTTTGACGCTCGCATTCAATATCCGACCTACTACAACTTCACCGTCAATAACACCTACGATGTTCCAGTTGGCACCCAGAGTATCCGCGACCAGTGGCTCAATGCCGCATGGGGTCCAGGAAACTGTCACGATAAAGTTGTGAAATGCAACACGAGCGGCGATAAAGCTGTCTGTGGAGACGCAAGTCAATTCTGCACCAGCGAGGCCGAGGCCCCCTACGATGAGATCTTGGGCAGGGACGGGTATGATATTCGGAAACTGATTCCCGACTCTTTCCTACCGGAATTCTACGTCGATTACCTGAACACCCCAAAACTCCAGAAAGCGATCGGCGCGTACACGAATTTCTCGGAATCTAGCAATACGGTTGGAAATGCTTTCAATTCTGTTGGAGATGACGCGAGCGAGCTCAACATCGTCGAAGATGTCAGGAAGTTGGTAGATCAAAGTGTTTATGTTGTTCTCTACGCAGGAGATGCGGATTATATTTGTAACTGGCGCGGTGGTGAAGTCGTTTCCCGGCATGTCGAGGCACCAGGGTTCCATCAGGCAGGGTATGTCAACATCAGCACTTCTGACAAGGTTGTCCATGGTCAAGTCAAGCAGTCTGCGAACTTTGCGTATGGGAGGATCTATGACTCTGGCCATGAGGTTCCGTTCTATCAGCCTCTAGCTTCGCTGGAGTTGTTTGAGCGGGCGATCAATGGTTTGGATATTGCCACTGGGAAGATTCCGGTGCAGAAGGGTTGCGGGTATAAGAGTATTGGGACGGCGAAGAGCGAATATCGGGAGGGTAATGCTACTGTGCAATTTAAGGTGGTGCCGACGAATGCTACTAATGATCCTAGCATTGATGGGCCTGTGTTGGCGTGCAATGGTACGAAGCCTAGGACAAAGAAGAGGAAGAGGATTGTGAAGCCCAGAGTGTCCTGATGGCCGGATGACACAATTTCGGCGTGTCTTCGCGTAGCTTGAACAGCTCATGTATTCCAGGTTTCCTGTTGGGTGAAAGTGCGGCTGCGGTGCGCGTGCTGGTATGCTGGTATGCTGGCATTGTGCCTGCCGGTTGTCTTGTCATTCAAGCTCTCAGGTTGAAAATTGAGCGCAAGATAGATACGCCTTCTTGAGTTGTAATCCAGATGACTACGATATGGGGCGCCGAAACAAGAGTTCTTCTGCATACCGTTCACACTGCTGCAAAAGTGTGCTTCAAGCGTCGGCCTACAAGCTCAGATCATAACTCGAAGCATGTATTCCTTCAGTGACAATGATTGTTGTGAGGTGCTTGGAGAAAAGAGGTTGAATCACGCTCAGAAGGAAGATGTGGAGAGTGGCTGGTGGCTGGCATCCCGGGTCGAAAAACCCCACTTGCTGTAACTGAGATGAATTCAGAAGAAGGCTATTCTATAGGAAGCCTAAAGATGAAGTGTGCAGTTTCAGCCTTAGGCATCATGCACGTGATAGAGACACTATACACATATATTAAGTTACCCCCTTATCGCGTATATATAGCTAAATAAAGCAAATAAAAAGGCATTAGAACTAGACTACTCTTATATAAGTTATATTATCTAAACAAAGTAAGTAGAAGTAACTAGACTACTCTCTAGTTATTTAAAATAAAGCAAATAAGTAGTTAAACTTAATAATAACCTATATCTTTAATCTATTTAGTAATACTTAGTAGTAGGCTAAGCGGCGCTCTTAATAGCGGCCTTATAGTCTACTACGTTTTACTATTAAACAAAGCGACTATACCTAAGCTTATCTAGTAGCTTAGTAAAACTATTAGCGATCTAATCGTATATACTAATCTAAGTAAATATAATAGTACTATTAGTAATCTTTTTATAGATATAGTAAACTCTAGTATCTATATACTTAGTATAGCTATTAATACTTATCGATTAAGTAATAGCGATAGCTAATTAATTATCTTCGTATAGCGTAATAGGCTTAATAGTGCCCTTATAACTAATCTCTTCTAATAATAGAGCTAGAGTAATAGCTTTCTTAGCGCTAGTTATTAACTAAATATACTTAGCCTCTATAAAAGATAGAGTAACTAGTATTTAGCGACCTAATTTATACAATAAAGGTCCGCTAGCGAGAGTAAAGTAGAAGCCGCTAGTAGAGTAGCGAGTAACTAGATTATTAGCCTACGAGGCGTTATAGTATCTAGTAAAGTTAAGCTTATCGTTCTATATACCTCCTTAGAAACGCAAGCTACGGCTAAGAGTACTAACTAGGTACTTAATAAGCTAAAGAAGCGCGGTATAGTATTCCTTAGTCGGATTAGAAATCAATTATAATAATAGGCCTACGGTATAGTAAGTATTAGGTCGAGTAATTATCGCTAGCTATAGTGCTTTACTAACACCTTCTTAATACTAAGTCGTAAAGGTAGTACTAGCTATATAGCCCTTACGTGCGCGTTAAATCGATATCTTAACGTAACGAGGCGCTAATAGTATAGTATATGCTATACGGCCCTATATACCGTACTTCAGACTTCTCGCTATACCTATTTAAACAGACATTCTAAACAACGTTACTATTAACGTATATAGTGCGCTAGTTACGGTTACGGATAATCCGTATACCTAGATAGTAGTATAAGCTACCTAGTTCTCGTATACTAAAGCGTTCCTTTAGTAGCTAAGTAATAGCTTCTAGTACTAATAGGCTATAGGCGATAATAATTATATTATCTACGTAGATAACGATAACAGAGCTACTAACGACGTGTTTAAACACATATAAGTTAGCTACTATTAGTATAAAGTCTAGGCTCTTTAAGTACTTCTAAGGCTATTTATACTATAGCATTAGTAACTGCTTTAGACTATTTATACTATAGCATTAGTAACTGCTTTAGACTATATAGTGCTTTTAGTAATAGGCAAACTATGCCCTTTCTACTACCGCGGCCCTTAAAGCCGTATAGTTGTTTAAAGTAGATCTTCTACTTATTACTAATTAGCGAATTAAGGAAGGCGGTTAGAATATTATACTACTTAGCCTATAGGTCGTAATAAGCAATTAGACTAAATAGGGCTCGTAGTATACATAGCTTAGTAATAGCCGTATAGGTCTTATTATAATCCTGTCCTTTAACCTATATAAAGCTATAGACGACCTATCGAGTCTTAAATCGGCTTATAGCCGCTTACCTTACTATTAGTATCTCGCTTAGTAGTAAATACCTATTAGCTACGAATAACCTTACGATCTTTAGGTACTTCTAGTTAAGAAACATAAATCTATATATAGTTATCGATTAGGGACTTATATTTAGGCTTATAGGCCTCCTTCTATTATAGCTAGTATAGCGACTAAGTCGCCTCCTTATAGCTCTTCGGAAGTAGAATACTCTCTTTAGCTACCTATTTAGCAATATAGTTAGAGGGTATAAAGCCCTTAATATAGGCTATCGATATATTAGCTATTATTTGTCGAGTTAAGCGCTTAACGCTATAGTCGACTAGATAACTACGTAATAGGTTATAAGCGCTCTTATTACTTCGTATCTTATATATAGAACGATTACTAATAGAGTTAGGTCGCTCGAATTTAGGTAACTAGCTAGGCTCGCCCTTCTTAGCCTATAGATCGTATACTAGCTGTTCTTCTTTAGCTAATTAGAAGCTATCTTTATTACTTAAAGGAAGCTAAATAGCTAGAAGGTTATCCTCGATTAGTAATAGATTAATAGCCTTATTAGCTAATTCTATACCCTACGTAGGTTCTTCTAGAGGTTCTTCCTACTAAGCTAGATAGACTATACTAGTAGCCTCTACTAGTATTAGAGCCTCGTTACTTATAGAATTAAACAAAGCTAGCATAATAGACTTAAGCGTAACAAACTCGTTCTTAGATAGGTAGTATAAAGGGCTACGCCCTAGGTAGAAAGCGCTAGCCTTAGGCATTCGGCCTACGCGACTCTAACCTACTACTTAGCGCTTAGCGTACTATACAAAACTATTCAGATTCACGTAGATAGACTTAGCTCTTTATCGAACCTATTAAGTCTTATATCTAGTATCTACGTACGCGTTACTTACCCGTAATATTAGGTTCGATCTTTATTATAGGAAACGCTAAGGTTTATTAGGAACCTAAGTAAGATAGCTAGGAGAATGCTACCCCTACTACGCTAGAGATAACTAGGGATAAGATTTATCGCGCCTTCGAGAGTCTCTATACTAGGTAATAGATAATAGAAGCCTAGCTATAAGCTACGCGCTCTACGCTCTAATACGCGGAAGTATCTTATTAGGCCGGGTCTACTAAAGCTAGTGCGATACGAGACTAGTCTACGAACGAGATCCTAAAAGGACTCCTAGAAACCCTTTCGGCTACTAGCTAAAACGTAACGGCGTTACGTAAATAGAAGCTACTATCGTAGGACGGAAAAGCTAAGACGTTCTAGAACTACTTACTACGACTAAGAAGTTCGTACCGAGTTCGTTCTAGATTGAAACCGTAGCTCTCCGAAGACTATTACTAGGATACTATTTACGATATCCTACCGGCGAAGGAACGCGCTAGGATACGCTACTTCTAGGAAAGAGGAAGCCTTACGAAAGGAAAGAACCCCGAGGCTTTCTTCTAGTAACTCGAGGACGTCTTCGTAGATAGTAACGAAGCTACTAAGGCGCTAGAGCAACTCTAAGCCCTAAGATATACTTAGGGACAACCTTAGTATAACTACTAGCTAGAATTCGACGGCCTCCTACTAAGCGTAGGTAGAGACTATTAGACCGACGATACGAAAATTAGATACTTAATAAATACCTTCTTAAACGCGGCTAAGACCTATACCGCCGCTATACTAAAGATTAAGGATTACTACCTCTATATAGAGGAAGTCGAGCGAATTATAACGAACCTCGAGACGACGGACTAGTTTAAATAGGCTACGAAACGCTAGTAAGAAAGGAAGAAGGAGGCCGCGAGCCTTACGGTAGTTATTCTACTCTATACGGCTCCTATAGCGAATTCGAAAGTCGACTCCGATAGAAACGTAGTTATAAACTCTACTTAAACGAATGCTTTTCGTAGAAAGAACCGCGGAGATTAATAAGGAATAGTAGGGAAGCCTAGAGCTAAATAGATCGACTCTATAAAGAGAGAGAAACGTAAGAAGAAAAGGCTCTACTTCCGCTACGGAGCGAGCGGGTACTATATTCGCGACTACCTATACGTACCGCCGGTTTAGCCTACTAAGATTAGCGTTACCTCTATATAACCTATTCTAGAAGACGCGGAGGATTAGTCGGACTTAAGTAGTTCCGACTCGGGAAAAGAGTAACTCTCGCTTATAGTTAGGAGTCGAGAGTAGATAAAGTATAGATAAAGAAATAGGAAGAAGTTAAAAAGGATATAAACGGGAACCTTATATATACCGATATAGTCCTCGAAAATAACGTCGGAACTTCTACTCTTATCGACGAAGGATACTAGTACTATACTACAATTAATACGGGCCTAGCTAAAGGCCTCGGGCTTAGCTATATTAGCCGAGAGTCCCGAGAAGTAAAAGGAGCGTCGTCTACGATATAAGACGCGAAAATTATTAGAGTCGTTGCCTTCTAGATAGAAATTAACAGGTTCCGATAAATAGTATATATATACGTCGTACCGGGATTAGCTTTCCCTCTTATCCTAGGGAACCTATAGAAGGTATATAATAAGGTTAGAACCGCGCCCGAGAAGCGATAGTACTATTATAGGAGGGCTCGGTATTAGGTTAAAGAAAGGCGGTACTACCGTAAATTCGATATAAGCGGGAATATTGCTACGATCGACGCTATAAGAAGCCTACTTACCGCTATAATCGCCGAGGATATTAAAAAGGCCCTAAAGATAAAGAAATACCCGACGATTAAGGAGCTTAAGAAGAAACTACTTCTAGAGGTTCGCGATATAGCTGCGCTATTTTATTAAAAGGAAGCCGATAAGTTAGCGCCCTATTGTCCTAGTATCGACTATACGATAGAACTCTATAAAAACCTAGATAGATCCTAGCCCTAGCTCTTCTAGGGCCCGCTCTATAGTATATCGAAATAGGAGCTCTTAGTCTTACGGAAGTTACTTAACAAACTCTTAAAGAAGAGGTTTATAAGACCTATAAACTCCGAAGCGGCGACGCCCGTATTATTTATTAAGAAACCTAGTAGTAGACTCCGGTTCTACTACGACTATAGGGCGCTTAACGCTCTTACGAAGTAAGATAGATATCCCCTTCTACTAATCCCGGATACTGTAAGGAACCTAACGGAAGCCCGATAGTTAACTAAGGTTAACGTAGTCTCGGCCTTTTATAAGATAAGAATAGCAAAAGGATACGAGTATAAAACGGCCTTCCGTACTAGGCTAGGCTCGTTCGAGTAGCTAGTATATCCGTTCGGTTTATCCGGAGCCCCGGCTACGTTTTAACGGTATATTAATACTCTCCTATAGGAGTATCTAGACAATTTCGCGTTAGCTTATATAGACGACGTAGTTATCTACTCGAGCGGAACGAGGGAAGACTATTTCCGTAAGATAAGGACCGTTCTTAAGAAGCTTTAGAACGGAGGCCTTTACCTTAATATAAAAAAGAGCGAATTCGCCTAGAAAAAGATTAAGTACCTAGGATTTATCGTCTATACCGATAGAGGAGGAGTATTAGTAGATCCCGAAAAAGTAGAAGCCGTATAGAAATAGGTAGTACCTAAGACCTAAAAGGAAGTTCGTCGTTTTTTAGGATTTACGAACTATTACTATATATTCGTGCTAAACTATTCTAAGATCTCTGTATTATTAACCGCGCTAACCGGTAAAGGAACCCCGTTCTTCTAGGGAGAAGAGTAGGATAAAGCGTTCGAGACGCTAAAGAACAAATTCTACTATACCCCGGTACTTACCTAGTAGGACCTATCTCTTCCTACTTTCCTTAAAATAGATTATAGCAGGTTCGCGATTAGGGGCGCCCTTATCTAAGAAAAGGTAGGGATCTATCGACCGGTAGGCTTCTTTTCGAAGAAACTAAATAAAGCGGAGATTAACTACGATATCTACGATAAAGAAATACTCGTAGTCGTATCTAGTATTAAGTTTTAGGACTCCGAGCTAAAATTATATAGATAGATAGATAGATATTTCATTTGCCTGTTATAGTGCCTTTCGGCCTATACAGGTCTGTTTCTATGTATTGTTTTAGGTAGGAAACCAACTTAGTTAGTAAAAACCTCCCTCCTATCCTATTTATAAGTATTAATCTTCCTCGTTTTCTTGTTTTCCTTCCTCTAGGGTATACTAGTGTTATAGTTGTTACCCTCTAACTACCTTGCCTACTGCCCTACCCTTCTTTCCCCCTCTTCTTCCCTTCTTCTTATCTACTCCTTAGTTTCCCTTACTAATACGAATTGTTGTACAAATCCCTATTTAATAATCTACTTTACTATCCTCTTTAAGTCTTCTTTACTCTAGATTAGCTTGTCGTATTCCCTTTCCATTGCTTTTAGTCTCTAATTACTTCTGCTTTCTAACTATTAGGGGTAGACTAGCAGTATATACTTAGGGTTCTAAGATTAGTAGCTATATTAGCAAGCTCTACTTTCAATTCCTAGGACGTTTCTTCTAAACAGGTAAGATCTAAGTCTAATGTGTTTAGATCTGATTTAGATAGCTAGGCTTACCTCGGCCCTATTTAGGTCCTTATAGAGCTAGTAGTTATGTTAACTAAATTTGATTAGTGCCTTTAGGGTTCCTAGTCTGACTTGTGTTTTGTTCTATTCCTACTCCTATAGGTGTCTAGCAATTGATTCTACTAGGCTTTGTTTCTCTCCCTTTAGCTTATCTTCCTTTAGCCTTATATTTGGTCCCTAAAGCTCTTTCTCTAGCATTTCTCCTATTAAGACTCTATATTGCTCTAGGTCTTTGACTTTCTAGGGAGTTATTTATAGTCTATCTCGCCTCCTAGTCCTAATGCACTAGGCTTTTATCTTGTCTAGTGCCTTTTAGATAGTCTATTAGGCTAGGTATTCTATTGTCTTTACTGTATATTAGTGTCTTAGTCCCTTAAAGTATTGTTTAACTAGTAGGATCCCTAATTCTATCTCTACTACCCTTATTAGTATAGTTTTATATACTCCTAGGATTTTCTTTAGGCTTTAGGTTTAGGACCTACTAACTAGTTGCTTAATCCTCTTTAGTGTCTTCTCCTAGGCTGTCTATATCTGTGCTCTATATAGCATTGCTAGCTTGACAATTGCTTTGTATATAACTTTAGCTTTCTCGAATATAGCCCTCTATATAGAGGCTATAAGCCTATTGATGGATTATATATTAGCATCTGCCCTCTGCTTTGCCTTTTTTACTTATAGTCCCTAATTCAGTTTTGGATCTAGCTAGATCCCTAGTACCCTAAGCTCTGCTAATAGTTAGGTTTCAAAGCCTTAGATAGTAATTGATTGCTTTATATTATAGGTTGATTTAGCCTTGCTAAAGTGGATAAGCTAATACTTTTCTAGGGCGAATTTTGCTCTATACCTCCTTACCTATTTTTTACACTCCTAGTGCTTCTCTTCTAGGATCTTATAGTTAGTTTCTATTGTCTTAGACTAGGCTAGGATGTTTGTATTATCTATAAACCCTAATACTAATGTGTTTTTTAATTCTAGGAGTAGGAGTAGGTCTGCTATAAAGATAAGGAAGAGGATTAGGGAGAGTATTAATCCTTAGGGGATTCCCTTTTTAGTTAGTATTAGGTCTGATTTGAATTTGCCTAGAATGAGCTGTATTAATCTTTCCTATAGGAAGGACTAGATAAATTAGACTATCTAGTTTAGTATAGCTTTCTGTTTAAGTATATATAGGAGCCTTTTATAGGAGATATTGTTAAAGGCTCCTAAGATATTAAGGGAAAGAAGGGTTGCTACCTAGTTTTAACTATAGTGCTAAATATGCTTGATCTATTCTATAATTAGTTCTATAGCTGTTAGTGTTAACCTCTTCTTTCTTCCTTCTATCTAGCCTTTAGGAAGGATGTTCCTTTCCTCGGTAAAGGTTATTAGCCTTTTAGCGACAATTTTTTCTAGTACCTTACCTATTATATTAAGTAGGGCTATTAGTCTGTAGGCCTTAAGCTATATATAGTCTTCCTTCTAGGGCTTCCTTAGCACTACTGTTAGGGACTTCCTAAATAGTCTTAGGTAGTGTCCTAGTACTAGGCTTTATAAAAAGATATTAGCGAGTGCTAGGGCTAGCCCCTTCCTATATACTTTTAGAAGTTTGTTGTAGATCTTGTCTTCTCCTAGTACCTTATTGCCTAGAATTTTCTTTAGGATCCTTTTAATAGTTTCGGGTTTAACCTAGGTGTCTCTTAGTATGCCTAGTAGTAGAGTCTCTTATTCTTCCTCCTTTATGTCTAATAGGTCTACTTATACTTTTCTATAGAAGAAGTGTTAGCCTAGGGCTCTTACTTTCCCTTCTATTATAGTCTACATTTGTCCTTATTAGTCTATAATGTCCGGGAATTGTAGTAGTATATCCTTATCCTGTTTAGGTCTCCTTACCTATTTAGCTATCCTCTATATCTCCTCTAGTTTCTTTGTAATTATTCCTATTATAGATCTCTATTCTTATATCTTGTCTTTCTTAATTTAGATCTTCTTTTCCTAGTAGGCTTTGTTATAGTTATCCTATGCTTCCTAGGTATAGGTTTGTATCTACTGCCTCTTAGCCTTCCTTGCTACTTTAACTTTCCTTGTATACTTACTAGTCTAGTATAGTTACTAGTATAGTAAATGTTTCTTTACTAAGGTATGCTTTCTAGCTACCTGTTTTAGGATTCCTATTAGTTCTTCTACTGCCTCGTTAATGTCCTCTAGCCTTAGTAGGTACTTTATTAAGAGTTCCTCTAGTTTTAGGTCCCTTTCTAGTTCCTCCCTAATCCTGTCCTACTAGGTACCCTTCTAGTTAAGCTTCTCCTCTAGTTCCCTTTCCTAATTAGCTTAGACATTTAGCTTAATCTATACCGGGAAGTAGTCTAATGATTCTTCTAGTTCCTAGTTAACCCTGTATCTTATAATCCTGTTCCTAATCTAATGTAATATAAAGTATAGGTCTAGTATACTGCTGCTTCCTCTTGCCTCCTAAGTAATTAGTCCCTTTAGGGTAACAATTTCTATTCCTTCCCTCTCTAATATGTTAATTAGTCTTCCTACTAGGAAGTAGTAAGCTAGGGTAAAGTCTAAGCCCTAGAGGGGGTAGTAGAGGTTGAAATCCCTAAGTAGGATTTAGTAGGTATTCCCCTAGATAACTCTAGGTAGTCTTTCTAGGGTTTTTAGTTAGGTACTGCTTCTTAAGTCTAGTAGTAGGTTGTATATATAGTAGACTTAGAGTGTACCTTAGGATGTCTCTACTTGAACTAATATTAGGTCCCTATCCTCCTATAGTATAGCCTGCTAGGTTTCTATATCTATCTCCTTACTAATATAGATGTATATCCTTAGGGCTCCCTAGTTGTAGATAATTAGGTAGTATCTTAGGTCTTTAACTGTTGCTAGTCTCTTTGTATATAGGTTAAGCTAGGGCTCTTAGATTGCAATAATGTAATGTTCTTTTAGGTTCAGTGCTTAAAGGAAGCTCCTCTATACCTTATCTTTGCTCTTATTAATATTGTACTATATAATGTTTAGTAATGTTGTAATGTTCATTGAGTTTTATCTATATTATTTCCCTATAGGTTTTCCTTTAGTCTTCCCTTACTTTAGACTAACATTTAACTAAGCTTTGTCTGCCCTGCTTCCTTTCCTATAATGTTAAGGTATCTTGGTCTCCCTAGTTGCTAGTAACTCTCTTGTGCTAGTAAGGCCCTAAATATGAACCTATTATCTTGTCTAGACCTCTTTTGTAGCACTTAGCTAGGTTGCTTCTGTACCTAGCTGCCCTAGCTTATTATATATCTTTTTAGTATATTGATTCTAGCTTCCTTTACCTTCCTAGCTGCCTATATTCTTACTAGGCATTCCTTCGCCTAAGAGGGGTGTCTTTTGGTATAGTATATACATCTTACTTCTCCCTTGTATGCTTTATATTCTTTGACCTAGTAATCCCCTATATAATAGGAGCAGGTATTGGTTGTTTTTGTATACTTAGCTGCTAAGTGTCTATAGTGTTGATATTTGAAGTACTATATTATCCTATAGTTGCTTCTATATATCTCTGTTTCCAATCTTTTAAAGTCCTAAAACAACCCCTAGTCTAGCACTATATTAGCTTACTCTGCACTCCCTACCTAGATAATTAGGGAAGACTGCTTCTTAGTCTCTTCGATTTTCCTTTTAATCTATACCACTTTTGTAATCTTAAGGCCTAGGTATATAGCTTGGTTTTGTCTCTATAGGCTCTTAATATCCTATTCTTCCTTAAAGCTTCTTATTATACTATAGGCTATAATTATAAATTGCTATTAGGAGACCTTTACTGTTTTCCCTATCTTAGTTATCTATTCTTTTTGTGTTTCTAGCTTCTTTTTGTCCTGCTCTTATACTATAAATAGCTTGATTACCCCTTTACCTTCGTTCCTGGCCCTAATTACCTCTTTAACTATAATTCTTTCTACAATCTCTTTCCCTATAAGTCCTTAGATTTCCTTTTGCTCCTATAGGTCCGTAATGTAGACTCTAACTACTGTCTTCGGGGGTTTTAGCGCCTCCTAACTAGCTACTGCTGCCTAGGTACGGTAGTTTAGGCTTGTCTCCTATTGTTTCTTCGTAATCTTTGCTGCGACTGTATTAGCTACCTTTGTGATAACGTAGCTTGCCTAGTTATAGATTGCTTTCAGTCCTCTAAGGAGTTCTAAGATTATTATCCTGTATGCCCTCTTAGGGGTTCTTCTATCTTCCGCCTTTAGCACCTCCTCTGCCCTAGTATATAGTGCTTTCTATTCGTCCTCCCTTCCTTCTTAACTATCTTCCCTTCGTCTCTGATTGTTCGCTACCATTTTTTCCCTCTATAATACGAATATAGCGATCTTTAATAGTAACAGCATTACTAAAATTATATAGCCCCTTTACGATTTAGATAGACTATAAGAACCTAGGATACTTTATAGTAAAGCGCTAGCTATCCGAGAGATAGATCCGATAGTAGGAAGAACTAGCTAAGTACTAGTTTACCCTAGTCTACCGGCCGGGAATCGAGGCTATCCTACTAGATACCTTATCGAGGAGAGAATAGGATACGTTAGGCTAAGACGATAAGCTTTCGAGGTTTCGGAGGTTTCTAGAGCCGGACCTCTCTCTAAACTAGCCGGAAAACGTTTAAATCTCTAGTACTACGATCTATAGCTTCCTATATATAACCGAGGCAGGCCTATTATCTCTACTCGCGAACGAGACGGAGCCCGCGTAGCCCCCGCCGGAAAGCGCTAAACTATTCTAGGACCTAGAAATAAACGATATATAGAAAAGCATTATCGAGAAGGATATAGTATACTAAACGGTATTACGGAAAGTCCGTAAGGGATATAGGATATTATAACCGGAAATTAAAGCGAAAATTTAGATTAGGAATTATACGATAGACCCTAAGAGGTTCCTACGCTACTACGGCAAGCTCTAGGTTCTAGGAGCCCTAGCTACGACGGAAGCCGAATACAAAGATATAGAGACTAAAGAACTATAGTAGGATATACTACGTACGAAGATTATCTAATCGATCTACGACTTACCGCTCTACGGTTACCCTAGCCGGGATTCTACCGCTTCTATACTAGGTCGCGACTTCTACTAGCCGCTATAGTCGAAGCAGGTACGACAATTCCTACGGAATTACAACTATTATAGACGCAATAAAGTATAGAGAGAATATAAATATAGCCTCCTAAAACTACTACCGGTACCCGACCGTTTCTTCTAGGAAATCTCGATAGACTTTATAACTAACCTACTAGAGTTAGACGGGAATCGATATCTTTAGGTAATTAAAGACCGCCTTAGTAAATAGATTACCCTTATCGGTACTCCCTCTATATAAGCGGAGGAATACGTAGTTTTGTTTCTAAAATACTAGGTTAGGTATTATAGACTGCCTCGTACTATTACTAGCAATAGAGGTACGAATTAGATAAGTACTTTCTAGAGGGAGATATATCGACTACTTAGCGTAAAGTAGAGGTTAAGCTCCGCTTACTACCTATAAACCGACAGAGGTCCGGAGCGCGCTAACTAAGATATTTAAGCTTACCTACGGAACTATATTAACTAAATATAGTCCGACTAGAACTAATAGCTTCCTACGGCGGAACTAGCGTTTAACGGGAGATACTAAGCGGGGTTAGGAATAAGCTCTTTCTTCGCGACTTATAGTTACGAATCTACCTCCTCTATTACGCTAGAAGAGGACCTAGCTATCGATAGGTAGCTAACCGCGGCAAAACGAGCGGAGGAATTCGTAGATAAGATTAAGAAAATCTTAGACCTATACTAAGTATAAATAGCGGAAGTAGTATAGAAACAAGAGGACAGCGCGAATAAGACTAGGACACTAGCGCCGGTATATTATATCGAAGACAAGGTCTAGCTCGACCTAAGGAATTACTAAACCGATAGACTAAAGAAGAGCCTCGACTCGAAATACGCTAAGTATATAGTCGAAGAGGTATTGTCGCCTATCTTAGTATAACTCTCTAGGATACCTAGTAATATTTACCTAGTATTCTATACCGACCTTCTAAGACTTACGAGTTAGGGACCCCCTACTAGGGTAGGTAATCGACGACGAATAGCCGGACCCTATTTTATTCGAGACGTATAAAGAATAGCAGGTCGAAGAAATCCTATATATCCGGAAAAGAAAGTAGAATAGAGGACGAGAAGCGCTCGTAAAATAGAGTAGGTACTATAAACCTATATAGGAACCCCTAGACTATATCGTAGATACCTTAGTACTAGATAACTTCGAAGCGAAATATAGACAAATCGAGGAGAACGATAGACCTCTAGGAGACTAGGAGAAGAGAGTAAAGCGAAGGAAATAACGCGGTAACCTAGAGTTGTTCCGTAGAGTAACGATTATTAATTTATAGATTTTAAGGATTTTTACCAACTTTCGGAGTTTTTACTAACTTATTAGTTTTGTTTACGAAACATTTTAGTTTACTAGAAATACTAGAGAAGGGAGATATAATTTAGGATAGAGAAAAATTTTATTTAGGTATTTATAAGTAAGTATCGGATCTCCGCCCGAAGTTAGGAGGTCCCCTTAGGGCTAGAAAAAAAATATAACAATACCCCCGAAACTACCTAGAGCCTACTAGAAAACCTACGGAAACCCTTATTAACCTAGCTAATCCGGCGGACCTAGACGATTAGTACCGAGATAGAGAGTAGTAGGAATATCCCTAAAAAAGAAGATTAGCGAGAGAAAATCGAAGGGTAGAGATAAACTTACGTCTAAGTCTATTAAGCTACGATATTAGCAACGGTATTCGTTACCTCCGAAGCGATAGCGCTAAAAGAAATAATTAGCGAGGGTTTTATCGCAGGAAACAGGAAATCTTACTTAGATAATAATCCCTACCGCTAGAGAGACTTTAGAGCTTTCTATACCTTAAGAACCTTAAGAAGCTCGGAGTGCTTCTCGGCGACGGTACCGCGGATCGCGCGGGTATAGCTAGCGTAGGCTACGTAAGCTATTTAAGGACTAAATAGTTAGCGAGGGCTTTAGTACGGAAATCGCGAAAACTTATAGTAGAGCGTAAGCGATTCTCTTACGAGCGCAATTTATATAGGCCCTCGAACTAGCGGGCTAGGGAAAAGTTAGCGAACTCTACGACAAATAAGGCGGGAACCTTATAGATTAATCGACGTAGTTCTCGCTAGGGTTATAGCAACTAATATAGTAGATTCGACGAGCTATCTAGGATAAGTTAATTTTACGAACGAAATCGCGGAGGATAGAGAGGGACTTACTATAGTAGTAGTAGTAGTAGTAGTAGTAGTAGTAGTAGTAGTAGTAGTAGTAGTAGTAGTAGTAGTAGTAGTAGTAGTAGTAGTAGTAGTATAGGGGTATATTTAAAGAAAAGAAGAAGAAGAAGAAGTAGAAGAAGAGGAAAATATTAATACTCCTAGAAAGCGATATAGAAGTAAAAGTCGCGAAAGTAACGGAAGGCGCAATTATAAGTTATAAAGGGCTACGCCCTAGGTAGAAAGCGCTAGCCTTAGGCATTCGGCCTACGCGACTCTAACCTACTACTTAGCGCTTAGCGCACCGTATAAAACTATTCGGATTTACGTAGATAGACTTAGCTCTTTGTCGAACCTATTAAGTCTTATATCTAGTATCTACGTACGCGTTACTTACCCGTAATATTAGGTTCGATCTTTAATATAGGAAACGCTAAGGTTTATTAGGAACCCGAGTAAGATAGCTAGGGGAACGCTACCCCTACTATACTAGAGATAACTAGGGACGAGATTTATCGTACCTTCGAGAGTCTCTATACTAGATAGTAGACGATAGAAGCCTAGCTATAAGCTACTCGCTCTACGCTCTAATATACGGAAGCGTCTCGCTAGCCCGGGCCTCCCGAAGCTAGTTTAGTACGAGACTAGTCTACGAACGAGATCCTAAAGGGACTCCTAGAAACTCTCTCGGCTACCGGCTAAAACGTAACGGCGTCCCGCGAGTAGAAGCTACTATCGTAGAATAGGAAAGCCGAGTCGTTCCGGGACTACCTACTACGACTAAGAAGTTCGTACCGAGTTCGTTCTAGGCTAAAACCGAAGCTCTCCGAAGATTACTACTAGGATACTGTATACGATACCCTACCAATAAAGGAACGCGCTAGGATACGCTACTTCTAGGAAAGAGGAAGCTTTATAAAAGGAAAGGACCCCGAAGCCTTCTTCTAGTAACTCGAGGATATCTTCGTAGATAGTAACGAAGCTATAAAGGCGCTAGAGCAACTCTAAGCCCTAAAGCACTCCTAGGGATAACCTTAGTACGACTACTAGCTAGAATTCGATAGCCTCCTACTAAGCGTAGGTAGAGACCGTTAGACCGACGATACGAAAATTAGGTATTTAAAGAATACCTTCTCGAACGCGGCTAAAACCTATACTACCGCCGTACCGAAGATTAAGGATTACTACTTCTATATAGAGGAGGTTAAGCGGATTATAACGAACCTCGAGTCGATAGATTAGTTTAAATAGGCCGCGAAACGCTAGTAAGAAAGGAAGAAAGAAGCCGCGAGTTCTACGGTCGTCGTCCCCCCCTATATAGCTTCTACGGTAAATCCGAAGGTCGACTCTAATAGAGACGTAGTTATAAACCCCGCTTAAACTAATACTTCCTATAGAAAGAACCGTAGAGGCTAACAATCGACGGCGGGGAAACCTAGGGCTAAATAGGTCGACTCTATAGAAAGAGAGAAGCGTAAGAAGAAAAGACTCTACTTCTACTATAGAGCGAGCGGATACTATATTCGAGATTGCCCGTATACCCCGCTAGCTTAGCCTACTAAGATTAGCGTCGCCTCCGTATAACCTATTCTAGAGAATACGGAAGAATAGTCGGACTTAAGTAGTTCCGACTTAGGAAAAGAGTAACTCTTACTCGTAGTTAGGAGTTAGGAGTAGATAGAGTATAGGTAAAGAAATAAGAAGAAGTTAAAAAGGATATAAACGGGAATCTTATATATACCGATATAGTCCTCGAAAATAACGTCGGAACTTCTACTCTTATCGACGAAGGATACTAGTATTACGCTATAATTAATATAGGCCTAGCTAAAGGCCTTAGACTTAGCTATATTAGCCGTAAGTCCCGAGAAGTAAAAGGAGCGTCGTCTACGATATAAGACGCGAAAATTATAGGGGTTGTCGCCTTCTAGATAGAAATTAACGGATTCTAACAAACGGTATACGCTTACGTCGTACTAGGATTAGCTTTTCCCCTTATCCTAGGGAACCTATAGAAGGTATATAATAAGGTTAGGACCGCGCCCGAGAAACGATAGTACTACTACGAGAGGGCTCGGTATTAGATTAAAGAAGGGCGCTATTACTAAGAAGTCGATACGAATAGGAACATTACTACGATTAATACCGTAAGAAGCCTACTTACCGCGACAATTGCCGAGGATATTAAAAAGGCCCTAAAGACGAAGGAATACCCGACGATCGAGGAGCTAAAGAAGAAATTGCCCCCGAAGGTTCGCGATATAGCCGCGCTATTTTATTAAAGAGAAGCTAATAAGTTAGCGCCCTATCGTCCTAGTATCGACTATATAATAGAACTCCGGAAGAAACTAGACAGATCCTAGCCTTAACTCCTTTAGGGCCCGCTCTATAGTATATCGAAATAAGAACTCTTAGTCTTATAGAAGTCGCTAGACGAGCTCTTAAAGAAGGGATTTATAAAACCTACGAACTCCGAAGCGGCGGCGCCCGTACTATTCGTTAAGAAACCTAGGGGAGGACTACGGTTCTACTACGACTATAGGGCGCTTAACGCCCTTACGAAGCAAGACCGATATCCCCTTCTACTAATCCCGGATACTATAAGGAACCTAACGGAGGCCCGATAGTTAACTAAGGTTAACGTAGTCTCGGCCTTTTATAAGATAAGAATAGCAAAAGGATACGAGTATAAAACGGCCTTCCGTACTAGGCTAGGCTCGTTCGAGTAGCTAGTATACCCGTTCGGTTTGTCCGGAGCCCCGGCTACGTTTTAACGGTATATTAACACTCTCCTATAGGAGTATCTAGACGATTTCGCGTTAGTATATATAGACGACGTAGTTATCTACTCGAGCGGGATAAGGGAAGACTATTTCCGTAAGGTAAGGGCCGTTCTTAAGAAGCTTTAGGACGGAGGCCTTTACCTTAATATTAAAAAGAGCGAATTCGCCTAGAAAAAGATTAAGTACCTAGGATTTATCGTCTACGCTAATAGAGGGGGAGTATTAGTAGATCCCGAAAAGGTAGAAGCCGTATAGAAATAGGTAGTACCTAAGACCTAGAAGGAAGTTCGTCGTTTCTTAGAATTTACGAACTATTACCGTATATTCGTACCGAACTATTCTAAGATTTCCGCACTATTAACCGCGCTAACTAGTAAGGGAACTCTATTCTCTTAGGGGGAAGAGTAGGACAAAGCGTTCGAGACGCTAAAGGACAAATTCTACCGCGCCCCGGTACTTGCCTAGTAGGACCCGTCCCTTCCTACCTTCCTTAAAACGGACTATAGTAGGTTCGCGATTAGGGGCGCTCTTATCTAAGAAAAGGAGGGGATCCGTCGACTAGTAGGCTTCTTTTCGAAGAAACTAAATAAGGCGGAGATTAACTACGATATCTATAATAAAGAAATACTCGCGGTCGTATCTAGTATTAAGTTTTAGGACTCCGAGCTAAAATTATATAGCCTCTTTACAATTTAGACGGACTATAAGAACCTAGAATACTTTATAGTTAAGCGCTAGCTATCCGAGAGACAAATCCGATAGTAGGAAGAACTAGCAAAATACTAGTTTACCCTAGTCTACCGGCCGGGAATCGAGGCTATCCTACTAGATACCTTATCGAGGAGAGAATAAGATACGTTAGGCTAAGACGATAAGCTTTCGAGGTTCCGGAGATTTCTAGATCCGGACCTCTCTCTAAACTAGCCGGAAAACGTCTAAATCTCTAGTACTACGATCCGTAGCTTCCTACGTACTACTAAGGCGGGCCCGTTATCCTTACTCGCGAACGAGACGGAACCCGCGTAAGCCCCGCCGGAAAGCGCTAAACTATTCTAGAACCTAGAGATAAACGAAATATAGAAAGGCATTATCGAGAAGGATACGGTATACTAGACGGTATTACGGAAAGTCCGTAAGGGATATAGGATATTATAACCGGAAATTAAAGCGAAAATTCAGATCGGGGATTGTATAATAGACCCTAAGGGGTTCCTACGCTATTGCGGCAAACTCTAGGTACTAGGAGCCCGAGCTACGACGGAGGCCGAATATAAAGATATAGAAGCCGAAGAACTATAATAGAATATACTACGTACGAAGATTATCTAATCGATCTACGACTTACCGCTCTACGGTTACCCTAGCCGGGATTCTACCGCTTCTATACTAGGTCGCGAATTCTACTAGCCGCTATAGTCGAAGCAGGTACGACAATTCCTACGAAATTGTAACTATTATAGACGTAATAAAGTATAGAGGGAGTATAAATACGGCCTCCTAAAGCTACTACCGGTACCCGACCGTTTCTTCTAGGAAATCTCGATAGACTTTATAACTAACCTACCGGAGTTAGACGGGAATCGATATCTTTAGGTAATTAAAGACCGCCTTAGTAAGTAGATTGCCCTTATCGGTACTCCCTCTATAAAAGCGGAGGAATACGCAGTTTTGTTTCTAAAATACTAGGTTAGGCATTACGGACTGCCTCGTACTATTACTAGCGATAGAGGTATAAATTAGATAAGTACCTTCTAGAGGGAAATATATCGACTACTTAGCGTAAAACAGAGGTTAAGCTCCGCTTACTATCTATAAACCGACGAGGCCCGGAGCGCGTAAACTAAGATATTTAAGCGTACCTACGGAACTATATTAACTAAATATAGTCCGACTAGAACTAATAGCTTCCTACGGTAGAACTCGCGTTTAACGGGAGATACTAAGCGGGATTAGGAATAAGCTCTTTCTTCGCGACCTACGGCTACGAATCTACCTCCCCCGTTCCGCTAGAAGAGGACCTAGCTATCGATAGGCGGCTAACCGCGGCGAAACGAGCGGAGGAATTCGTAGGCAAGATTAAGAAGATCTTAGACCTATACTAAGTATAAATAGCGGAGGCAGTATAGAAATAAGAGGAAAGCGCGAATAAGACTAGGACGCCGGCGCCGGTATACTATATCGGAGACAAGGTCTAGCTTAACCTAAGGAATTACTAGACAGATAGACTAAAGAAGAGCCTCGACTCGAGATACGCTAAGTATACGGTCGAAGAGGTATTATCGCCTATCTTAGTATAACTCTCGGGGATACCTAGTAATATTTACCTAGTATTCTATACCGACCTTCTAAGACTTGCGAGTAGAGACCCCCTACTAGGGTAGGTAATCGACGACGAATAGCCGGACCCTATTTTATTCGAGACGTATAAAGAATAGTAGGTCGAAGAAATCTTATATACTTAGAAAAGGAAGCGAGGCCGGGGACGAGAAGCGCTCGTAAAATAGCGCAGATACTATAAACCTACGTAGGAACCCCTAGACTATATTGCGGATACCTTAGCACTTAACGACTTCGAAGCGAGATACGGATAAATCGAGGAGAACGACGGACCTTTAAAAGACTAGGAGAAGAAAGGGAAACGGAGGAAATAACGTAGTAGCCTAGAGTTTTTCCGCGGAGTAACGGTAGTTAATCTATAGACTTTAGGGATTTTTACTAACTTTAGGAGTTTGTTTACTAACTTAGGGGCTTTTGTTTACGATATATTTAGGGTTTACTAGAAACACTAGAGAATATAATTTAAGATAGAAAAAGTTTTATTTAGGTATTTATAAGTAAGTATCGGGTCTCTGCCCGAAATTAAGAGGTCCTCTTAGGACTAGAAAAAAAAAGGATATAATATTACCTCCGAAACTACCTAGAGCCTACTAGAAAACCTACGGAAACCCTTATTAACCTAGCTAATCCGGCGGACTAATACGATTAGTACCGAGACGGAGAGTAGTAGGAATACTCCTAAGAAAAAGAAGATTAGCGAGAGAAAATCTAAGGATAGAGGTAAACTTACGTCTAAGTTTGTTATACTACGACATTAGTAACGGTATTCGTTACCTCCGAGGCGATAGCGCTAAAGGAAATAGTTAGCGGGGGTTTTATCGCGGGAAACGGGAAATCCTACCTAGATAGCAATCCCTACGGCTAGAGAGACTTAAGAGCTTTCTATACCTTAAGAACCTTAAGAAGCTCGGAGTGCTTCTCGGCGACGTTACTACGGGTCGCGCGGGTATAGCTAGCGTAGGCTACGTAGGCTATTTAAGGACTAAATAGTTAGCGAGGGTTTTAGTACGAAAATCGCGAAAACTTATAGTAGAGCGTAAGCGATTCTCTTACGAGCGCAATTAGCGTAGGCCCTCGAGCTAGCGGGCTAAAAAGAAGTTAGCAGACCCTACGATAAATAGGGCGGGAACCTTATAGATTAATCGACGCAGTCCTCGCCGGAGTTATAGCAACTAATATAGTAGATTCGGCGGGCTATCTAGAACAAGTTAATTTTGCGAAGGAAATTATAGGGTATAGAGAGGGACTTGCTATAGTAGTAGTAGTAGTAGTAGTAGGGGGTATATATAAAGAAAAGAGGAAGAAGAAGAAGAAGAGGGAAATATTAATACTCCTAGAAGGCGACGCCGAAGTAAAGGGCGCAAAAGTAAGGGAAAGCGCGATTATAAGTAAAGCGTTTAAAAGCGCAGTTACGACGCGTTCTAGAAGGCGGTAAGCAGGTAAAAGAGCGCGGTTTAGTAGTCGCGAAGAAAGTTATAGTCGTTAAAGCCCTAGGTATAGCAACCCCGACCGGAAAGTAGCGGAAACCCCGATTGTAAAGAAGGAAACTATAAGCGCGTTGCTTTAGAGAAGCTTAGATAGGTACAGATCTAACGGATAAAGTAATAGCGATAGAAACTACGAAGGGCTTTCTATTCCCGCTAAGGAAGGGGAGGAGAACGGGGATAATATAAAGGGCTACGCCCTAGGTAGAAAGCGCTAGCCTTAGGCATTCGGCCTACGCGACTCTAACCTACTACTTAGCGCTTAGCGTACCGTATAAAACTATTCGGATTTACGTAGATAGACTTAGCTCTTTATCGAACCTATTAAGTCTTATATCTAGTATCTACGTACGCGTTACTTACCTATAATAGGTAGTTAGAATTAGTATATAGCTTTATATCTTCCGGAAGCGACGATTTACTAGCTGTTTTAATAAACTAGATATCCTTAGACGCGACAACCTTATACTAGTTAGACAAGTAGATTATATACTTACTTGCCTCTAAACTAGATAGGAATATAGCAACCTATATATTCTATTAGCAGTATAGGGTTATTAACTATATATATACTTATTTCTAGGTCGATAACCTAGTTAGTAGTACGAGTCGCCGCTATAAGGGCTATAGACACCTAGTCGCTAATAGTAACTATTATAGTAAAGCTATAGTTACTACTAGAATTAGATACTAGCGGCGCTAAATCCGGACGTAGATTGTTATAGAATAAGGGCAGTATATTCTTAGTAAATAGGCCCTATACTAGTATACTAGGCTAGGGCGGTTATTATTACTAAGTAATTAGCCTACGCTTATACTACTATTGCTATTACTATACCCCCTTCTTCTTAGCCTTCTATTATTTACGGTAGAGACAGTCCTCCTCTTTTAGGTATAGGTACTTATTATAGTAGCGGTTAGAAGGATACGAGCCTTAATAATCGGCGCATTTCTTACGGTTAGATTAGTAACTATTTTAACTATTCTAGTTATTTCTACCGCGGCCTCGACTATTACTATTATTTCCGCGGCTACTACGACCGCTATAGTTCGAGTTACCTCGACTATTACTATTACTATTGCCGCCTTGCTATAGTAGCTAGCGCTAAAGACTAAAGAAGCTATTATACTAGGCCTAGTTTAATTAAGCTATATTCTTATTAAGTAACGCGCTAATAATATTACTAAGGGTACTATTATTAATTATATATTCCGAGGCGCGTATTTGCTTATAGCGTATCTATACGAATATCTCGTAGAATAGAGCGATCTATGTAATAAACATATAGATAGCCTAATATTAGCTAATAGCTAATTTAGTCTCCTTTAAGGTACTAAGCTTCTTCTTATACTTATTATAGAACTTCTCGATATCTTTGCTATTATAACAAAGGGTAGTATAGTCCTAGAAGAGTATAAATTTAGTAGACCTACCTTTGCTAGTATATTTCTTATATAGGTAATTATATACTACCTTAGAGGTATCGAGTCTAAATAACGACTACTAGATCTCCGATAAATAGTTAGTAAATATCTATATACGCGCTAACTAGTCTTTTACCTCTAATTTATCTTAGCGGTCTTTAAACTCCTTCTAAGTTTTAGACGAGAACTTAATTTTAGGCTTTAGATAGGTCCCTTAGATCTAGCGCTATATCTATATACCTTTAAGGGCACCCTTAGTAGTATAGGCCTATACTAGATAGTTTTCCTTCTTCTTTAACTTAGGAATGTTACTTATATAAGCGTTTAATATTATAGAAGGAGCTATTATAGATAGTAATAGTAGCGATAAAAGGAGACTATAGACTTAGTTTAAAAGGCCGCTAATAGGCGCGCCTATATTATATTTATATAGCGAATAGCTAATACTATTATTATAGTAGCCGACTCGAGCTAGTATCTACTAGAATACTTAACGGCGGTAGTAAAGGTAGCGGCGATAGTAATAGTATTAGCGTAATTTTTAGTAACGAGCGCTAGCTACGTAGTAGTTAGACTACCTACTAGAAGTATTAAAATGCGTATTAGAAACGCAGGGGGCTTATAACCACTTGCTGCAACTGAGATGAATTCAGAAGAAGGCTTTTCTATAGGAAGCCTAAAAATGAAGTATGCAGTTTCAGCCTCAGGCATTATGCACGTAATAGAGACACCCCACACACACATCAAGTACCCCTTGTACTAGAGAGCTCGAAACTTATGGCCATAGCCCGCAAGCTCCACATCATCAACACATCCCATCGTCCTTCCTCATAGGCCATGGCCACCGACATTGAAGTTCGGAATTCCGCAATCGATGGCGCCGGTCGAGGTCTTTTCGCCAAAAAGGACTTCCAGCCTGGCGATGCCGTCCTCACGTTAGACAGGCCATATGTCGCAGAGCTGGACATCGACCGCATGCATGATTCCTGCGCCTGGTGTTTCCAAAGGGGCGCGGTGAGTGCAGAAGAGCGCAAGAAAGCTGCTGCTCTGGGATTGCCGTCCGCGGTCATTGACACCAAGGCATGCGCTGGCTGCAAGAAGATTCGTTACTGCTCCAAAACATGCCAAGCCAGATCCTGGAAACGAGAACACAAATATGAGTGCAATGTACTCAAGCACCCGAACAGGCCGGATCTTCCTCACGGTGTCCGCGCTGTCATCAAGCTGCTTGGGCGACTCAAGGCCGATCCGGAGGGCAAGGATGAATTGCTCCTCTCAATCCTTCAATTTAAGCCCGCTGCCGACAGCAAGGCTCTGGACTTCATCAAGCAGCACGATCCGCAACGATTCGAGGACTTCAATATGCTTGGCTACGGTGCTTGGAAGTATGCAGGAGAGCCCGAGTTCTCCCATCCGAACAGTCCTGGTGTAAAGCTCAGCAACTCAGGAGAGGCAACGGCAAAGGCATTCTTCTTCAATGTGATCAGCAATCTTATGCAGTTGAGCAATCCCATCGACGACACTAAACTCGGTATCGGATTTGACCCCATCTTGAATTCCTCGAACCACTCTTGCGATCCAAACGCGGCTGTCGTCTTCAACCAGCCGCGTTTGGTGCTTCGAGCCCTGAGATCGATCAGCAAAGGCGAGGAGATCTTTATGAAGTACATCGACGTCAGCAATCCTTTCTCGGTGCGCCAAGCAGAGCTGAAGGAGTCATACTTCTTCTCATGTCGGTGTAGCAAGTGCAAGAAGGGCGCAATCTTTGACGAAGACAAATTTCTAAAGTCGCCGACGGAACTTTCGCCCGAATTTGTTAAAGTTGCCGATGGTCTGATCAAGAGGCACGAGAAGCAACTCAGCAAGTTCTATCTTCCCATATCGGATGAGATTGCGCAAAGACGAGCTGCTGCTCTCCAAGCACAGGCATTCTCTGTCTCGGGTATCACTTTCGACTTCAACAAAGGCAACGAGGAGGCATCTGAGGATGAGATCAAGGATGCTCTCAAACTCACACTAAACTCGGGTCTGTGGTCCATCACCCGGCAACCTGTACCACACTTGCTACGTCAACTCCTGGTCTGCAACATCTCGTCAGGTAGAGCATATCAGGCATGGCGTCTAGGCTTGAAGATGTACTTCGAGATCGCGCCAATCCTCTACAAGAATCGGTCATTTTACCCCGACCGCGTAGTGGATCTCTGGTTAATGACCAACATCACAAATCAGCTCTGCAATCCTAACAACCCTCACGCTCGCGAGATCTTTCAGGAGTCTATGAAGTCAGGCCTCGACCTTCGAGTTGTCTTCACGGGCTTCCTGTTCCAGACCAGGGACAACATTGAGAAGTCGTACGGCAAAGGGTCACCTTTTGGCCGAGTCGTTGAAAGCATGTACGCTCAGACGATGGCAAATACAGACATCCTTCTGAAAGATATGAAAGACATGATCAAGGAGACCTGGCCTAAGCTGGAGGCTGTGGCCAAAAGCGTTGACATCCTGAAGCTTTGATGTTCGAAGAATCAATTCCGAAGCCGACCAAGGAAGAACCACCAATAAATGCGTATGAAAGTTCGTTCTCGGATAATTGACTTGTCATACCGCCAAGAGACGGAGGGTGGGCTCGCTTGCACATGTTTCAGATTGACATACAACGACACACCGAGCCGTCGTGTTCGACTTCGACTTGATTATATCATATATGCTTAATCAAATTTTAAGAATGCTTGATGAGCCGCTATATCGCAAATTAGATGATGGCGGCTGATTACTGCACACCATCTCGCCTTGGCCTTTAATCCGCTCGCCATCGAACCAACGAGGCGCGAGGAACGTCTATGTGAGACATCGACCGCATAGTGGTCCGCGAGAAGAACCCTTGGAATGGGCATATATAGACGCCTCCCGAATTTCTCAGTGTCGACCTACTACTCCTTTTTACCGCTCATTTCCTCCTGCTCCGCGAGCATCACTTTCGTTCTGTACATTCGGCTTTGACCGAGCACTGGTTGCTCACACATCCATTTCAGAAATACAGAAATTGCATATCCCACCGGCGCCATGAAGAGTTTTGCTGTTGTGTCTGCCCTGGTTGGCCTGGCGGCCGCTCACGGGTACTACCAGACGCCAGCTCCTCGCAAACCAGGCGGTAAGTCATGTCCAGCAATACAGCCTTAGATCATGACTGAACGCGATCAGAGGCCTATTCCGCTGCATGCGGCGAGCAAGCCTACAACATGATGAACTCGGACATCAACGGCAATATCCAAGCACTGGAATCACTTGTAGCTAACCAAGACGACTATGATGCCTCCAAGTGCAATCTTTGGATGTGCAAGGCAAGCAAACTCACTCAAATAATAATCCTCAGATGCTAATATCAGATTACATAGGGCATGGAATACGATGAAAATACTGCCACTGTCCACTCATTCTCTGCCGGCGAAGAGATTCCCATGTACTTCCAAATCGTCGCACCACACACTGGCTATGCCAACGTGTCTGTGGTCGACACTGCAACCAACAGCATCCTAGCAGCCAACTTGACCAGCTGGGACGAATATGCCTCTACCAGCGTGCCACTGAAGGCTGAGTGGCAAAATTTCACGGTCACAATGCCGGATACATTGGGCGGGAAATGTGCCACGGCAGGAGAGTGTGTCATTCAGATGCACTGGAACGCTCCACCGCCGGTCGACCAGACTTATCAGAGCTGTATCGATTTCACCCTAGCGGGCTCGAACAGCTCGAAGAGGAGCCATGCTCGAGGCTTCTCATAGATTGGGATGCCGTGGTGGAAGTTTGTAAAGGCAGGAAGACTGGAAGGCACTTGAAAGTTGACAGCTTGAATTGAGTGATTGACAAAAGTAGCCTTAAGCTTTGCGGTCATATTCGAGAATGTATCAGAACACACTTCGCAAGTTGATTTCGTATTGTGGTAGAGCGTGCCAATGAAGGCTGAGTGGGAGAATTATACTGTCATCTCCACGCCATGCTACGTAGCTACGACAGTGATGAAAAAGGCATAAATAAATGTGTCCTAAGTAACAGATTAGTGGCACCTGAACGAATCAAGGTAGTAAGCGATAGTGTCTTCCAAGAGCTTGCATTTGAGGGCACTTTTCGATGTTAGTCTAGAGTATTCTCGACAAGGATCGCAGCAACTTACCAGCGCCCATATCGCTATTGATTCTTGCTGCATAGTTTGTCAGTATAGAGAAGTAGACTTCTAGGTTAAAGAAGAACGGCACACTCTCTGCCTCATGTCACGGACGGCGAAGCGACCTAAGAGGTCTCAATCTAGATCACGCCTGTTAGTCTGCGAGCAAGATCTGGCGACAGCAGATATGTACCTTGACCGAACTTAGCAGGTCTGCGATACAATTAGTACAGCATTGCTAAATAGAACCAGTAGAGTCTTGATACGTACTGAGCTCCTCCTGGAGGGAAGCTTAAGCAGTGTTAGCATAGGACTTTGACTATAGACGTGATCTGCATTGCGCATTTACCCATCTCGGCACGAAGAGTGGCTGTGTCCATAATCAGCAGAAGTTGATAACGCGATACTACAAGCCATACCAAGCTCTCGCTTGACGTCGACTGCGCAAATAGTCAGCATCCAAAGGCAATGACTGTGATCGAACCAATTGCATACCAAGCTCTGCATCCTTCTTCGCTGTAAAGCGTTGCGACTGAGTCAGCTATCACAAACTCGAAGGGCAATCTCAGGAAGAGACCATACCATTGTCCTAGAGAAGCTGGGCTGGTGAGCAGTCAGTAAAGATCCACTATGAGAAGCAAAGCCCATACTCTTGTCGTCCCACAGCGCGCCCCTCTCTTTCTAAAAAGATATTATAATATCAGCCTGTCTGACAAACACAAGACCTCCCAATCCATGAGTGACATACGAGGACCTTGATCAAGTCACGGAGGTAACCTTCCTCCGACTTGGCCCACTTGGGCATCTCCTCGCTCCTCCATAGCGTTAGTAATTCCCACAAAAAGCTGCAGCGGACTACGATACTCGATCTTTTTCTTCTTCTATGGTTCAGACGTTAGCTCTGGTTACACGGTAGATGGTCTCTGAGCTGGCTGAAAAAGAGCCAGACTGGAAGATGCGCTTCTTGTCTAGGTAGGTGCCCCGAAAGTTCGCTCGAGGAGGAGTTCGAAGTAGATGCGGGGACTTTCTCAATCGACTCCTCTATATACGCCTCACTTGACTGAGTAGCACGGACAAGAGCGATTGTCGCCTCAACGAGGGTGGCGCTCTGGGCACCGGGGGACGGCGGTATTGGGTAAGGACAAGACTTGCGAGGGCTGGCTGAACGATTTTTGGCTACAACACGGCAACGTCAGGGTCCAGCTCGAGCGGAATTTTCGAGCACGCTTACATGATCTCTGCCCTTCTGAACGAAGCGTGTAAGCATGCCTCATGCAGAGACAGTGACCCACATACCGGGCATTGCTTGACGAGATGCTCTGGGAGAGCCCACTGTAAGCTTATGCATGAAACATTGCATGAACCAAGAAACGTACGCGTGGACTATGCAGCCGGTGAGTATGGTAAGGTAGGCTTGGGATACATACCTTCGTTTGGAGGTCTCTGATTACAGGACGTTAGCATGCCGTGTCGTGCCGTCCATGTCAATGCAGTCAGCACTTACATGGCTGGCTTTGTGATGGCCTGGATGTTGTCGCGCGACGTCTTGCGGTGCCTTATAGAGAGAGAAGAGAGAAGCGACGGCAAGCAATCCCACCAAGTCATAGTTGTTGATTGTTGATTGGATTAATCACATAATCACTTACAATTACATTAATTGTGAATGTGATTGCTAAGCATGTGATTGTGATTATAATCAGTCAATTACTCGGTGTTTCTTAGGGAGAGAATAGCAATACTACGGCGTATATAGATCCTACAAATTATCGTATTTCTACCTCTTTCCTTATACAATCTCGTACTAACGATAGGTTAGAAGCGCATAGAAGTAATCGAGGTAGGTAAATAGCGAATACTAGCGATTACTATAGCTAATCGTATAGCTATCGGATAGCGAGCCTAAATCGGAGGTTATAGATACCTTATTGTCGCTACTACCGCTACCGCCGCTATAGACTTAGACTTAATTAGTAGATAACAAGCCGCCTATCGAGAAGTCGTCTATCGCTAATAGTATATCTAGCGCTTCTAATAAAGAACAAGAACAACCGGTTACTAAGAGGCTTCGTTAGAACCCTAAGAAGACGGTAAAAGGTTAGGATTAGCTCGATTAATAGTATAAGGAAATAGGGGCTTAGCAGACGGTTATAGAAGGGTTATTATAAGAGTCTCGCCTTATTCTAAAGGAATACGAAGGCGTAGAATACCGACTAATTACGAAGAATGCCGAGCTCGACGTCTTTGCTAAGAAGTAAGAAGCCTTCGATAATTATATCCGCAAGAAGGGCAACTATATAGCCGTATATCTAACCGACTGTCGCTGCGAGGTCTATTATAAGCGTATATAGAGGGTCGAAGAGAGGGCGAAGCACTTCAGATTTAGTAACCCCTATGCTTGCTAGTCGTATATACTACGTACGGGCGAGGAATGCGAATTAAAGGTCGAGCTCGCTATATAACGTACTCGTAATGCCTTAGCTATTGAAGCTTTCGGAAAGGAGTGTATTAGTAGTAGTAATAGTAGTATTAAGGGTATTATAAAGGATTAGAATAGTAGAATAGTAGGACTTGTCGGTGTTCTAGTTGCCTGTTCCTATTAATTATATTATTCAGGGTCTTTGAAGCCTAATAGGAGCCTCCGGAGTCTACTAACCGAGCGGCTTTGGCTCGCGCCTTGAACCTTAGTAAGCACTGCTAAACTTAAATTTTCCAAACCTCTATTCTTTTATAACTTCTACTATTTCCTTACTATAGTAGAGATACGCAAAAACCCTAAGCCTTTATAGCGGCGCTTAGAAAACTTCCGTAAAAGCTAAGAAATATAACGGGAAACGCACGATAGACAACGGATACTATTTATACAAGATTCTAGCGATCTTAGCGACCTCGAAGATAATAAAGCCGGAGAGGTACTAAATCCTACGCTACTAAGTCAACTACTACCTCGACTAATACCTAACCTATTATTCCTTCCTATATAGTTATTATCGTCCTTAGTAATACCTATATAGCTAACACCGACCCCGATACTATTAGAAAAAGGAAAAGAGCGAGCAATAGGCGCGATCCGGAGTTATAGTCTTATTCGCGGCCTCTAAAGGATAAGGAGCCTAAGAGACTAAAGAACAGCCGCTATAAGGTATTCTATTATAGACACTATTCGGACAACGATCTAGAGCGCTTTTAGTTACAATCTAGTAACGCCGCTAAACACCTATTCTATAAGCATTAGATTATCGTTAGTCGTATAAAAGAGAAGGAAGACAATAGCAAGAAACAGATATAGCTTAACTTCTTGTCTGTCTAGCGGAAGAACGAGGATATAGAGGCTTAGAAGACGATTAATATCCTTAAGAACGCTATCGATAAGAAGGCCTTCCGCTATGCCCTCGCTCGCTTTGCTATAGGACTTAGTATCTCTTATAACGCCCTTGTTTCTAAGGAGTTTAGAGACCTTATTCTAACGGCTAATCTATAAGCCGACTACGCACTTCTACGCTCGTATACGTCGCTATATACCTATATTCTTTACAACTTCGAGAGCTAGCGAGAACGAGTTAAACAGCGCCTTCTTAGTGCTATAAGCTGTCTCTACTTTAGTACTAATACATAGAAGGCTTAATACGGCAAGAAGCACTTCTAAGCTATTAATTGCTAGTATATAGATAAGAAGGGCAGGCTCGTTCAAGTACTACCAGATTTGCTACAACTTCCGGTCGGCTTATATATAGGTAACTTCCTCGCTTAGCTTATTATACCTTGCTTCTAGGTCTTTAGTATAACTAGCAAGATTAGCTAGTTAACTGCTAACAATGCCTCTGCTAATAGTACGCTCTATAAATCCATCGAGGGCTATATACGACAGGCTAGCTTCAACTACTAGAAGGACCGTCAACTCCGCTATATTAGCTATATTATTAATCGGATAATATAAGCCTTTATGTTTGCTAAGGACAAGGAGTCTACTAAGAGTAAAGAGTTTAACTAGATAGTAATAGAGGACAGCAATACTATGTCTATTTCTAGGTAGTTAGATATAGACGTAGACTCCTTTACTAAATAAGGGCTATTATAACGGCTATTCGCACTCGCTAAGCTATTACGGACGAACGACAACTTTAACGTCTTTAAGGAGGTGTGTAAATCGTAGCCTTAACTGCCTTATTTAACACCTAAGATTCTAGGAGAGACGCGCTAGAATAGATAGCTTCTTATAATAGAAGAAGCCCTTTAAACAAGGCTAATTCTAAATAGCTTCTTCGATAGGATGCCGTATCTACGAGAGGCTTAGCTTACTAGCGACGAGTACTCGGTTCTATAGTATACTTATAACTTCCTTATGCCCTTTAAGGAGGTTACTCTTAAGCTACAAGGCTATACTGTTATACTAGATTTATATTAAGAAGCTATAGAATATATAAGAAGCTATCTTACTCAATTAGCCGAATACAACGTACGGCGTAAGCCTCTTGTCCGCTTAATCCGCCTTACAAGACAGCTATTTAACAAGTACTACAGTCTTAACTAACAGACAGCCGTCTATACAATAGCAGTACTTCTATATCTAACTCGTCGACTTACCTAGCTTAAGAAGCGCTCGGAGGTAGATATTGAGACCTTATTAGACCTTAGAAGGTTGCTATAGAAAGACTATAATAGCCGCTATAGAAGCCCTTAGCCGTCTACTTCTAAAGGTAATTTAGAAGGTCTTACTGCTCTCGAGCGATAGCAAATTAAGTCTTAAACTAACCTAGTTGCTACTAATAAAGACCCCTTCGAGACCTTTATTTAAGCGATACCTACTATATTACCTATTATAGGCAAGGATAGCAAGAACAGGCTAGTCTATATAACCGCTATTAAGTAGTAGCTGTAATAACGACCTTCAAACCGAGCGCTCGTACAACTAGCTATTAATGTATTGTTAGCCTTTAGTATGTTAGCCGAGTTAGAACGGACCTTTAGTTAGAGCCGCCGTACTATATTATAGGAGCGCTTACAACTTAGTAGTAACTATATTCGGATAAGTAAGTATTTAAAGAATTGGCTAAGAATAGGCCTCGTTGTAGATATACTATTATAAGAGCTAGCATTATTAGAAGAGGCGGAAGACAACGACCTAGCGGCTAGATACAGTGTATTAATCGTTAACTACGCTAAGAGCATATAAATATACCTCCTTCTTAACTATAACTACTACTAGCACTGATTGTATGATTTGATTATATAGTTAATCACTCACAATCAGTTGTGATTGTAATATTCGCTATGTGATTGTGATTAATCAACAATCAATAACTATGCACCAAGTCCTGCCCTCCTACCTTCACTTGGAATAAAGTTTAAAGTTTCCCACATCCCTGCACATGCACATGCATATGGCGAGAGTAGAGCAGCAAGTGCAAGCGCGACACCCGAGGCTTTCAGGAGTGAATGATGGTCACGTACCTAGACCATGCTTGGCCTCAGCTTCTTGCGTCCAAAGCGGGCTCCTCACAACGAGGCTGTGCACGGCGTAGGGTGAGACAGGCACTCGTAGACCAGAGGTAGGAAGTAGAGTGCTGAAGACCTTCGGTGTCTATGCCAAGGCTGCTATGGGAAGTTGTGGTGATCGTCGATGCTTCGTGAGATCGGCTTTGCCAGATGATGAAGAGTAGCGCCTTGCAAAATGCTCTGTCGCAGGAAGAATAGACTCACGAGCAACGGATCAACTTGAGCAACACCGACGTCCTCACTGATCACGTCGATATTATCGCCGTTGCGCTTTCTGAGCCAGGCAGGGTTGACGCCGTCTGTATATTGCTCCACCTTGCTGCTAGCAACTTGTGCTCCAGGACCGCCTTGATCCATCTATTCTTCGCTTTTGCCGCCGATGTCTTTTACAGCGAGGCTAGTACCTGTGCTTCGACCATATCCCCAATCCTTGTACCCATCATGCTCGCTCGCTAACTCTTGGTGCAGACGAAACGTCAGCTCACCTGGGGAAGCAGTCGCTGGACCGAACCAATCCTCCGCAACGAACCCTCCACTCTTGCCCGATGCAGAGGCGAATAGTTTCGGGCTGCCTCGGATTAAGTGAATCTGCTGTTTTCGGCCGTCGGGGTGTACGTTCGTAGGGCCTCGTGAGAAGTGGTGGTAGTACGCAGTGGCAGATCCAATGATGCTAGCTCGTGCTGGTGACTCGGGTCATCCTGAGGATACGTGTACGTAGGGAATCTTCTTGGGCGGTTGACATCTGCCGTCAGTGCCATTGCGACCTCCTCAGGAAATCTGATCGTTCCAGGCTCTCCCATGGCGATCTGTATTCGTCGTCTTTCAATCGTAGGCGACGTGAAATAGCATGCGCGTGCAGAAGGAATGGAGAAAGAGTCACTTACCTGCAGCAAGCTGTCACGATCGCTCCTCGCGACATCAACATCAACATGCTTCATATAGGACCTCGATCTCAACCGCAACCAATGATGACTGACGACATTTGTGTGGACAATTCGTACGGCTACCGTATTGAGTGCCCTCAATACGTAACACACGATCGACACCGGCGAACTGGAGCTCAGAATACTTCGTCCTAAGGACTGAAATGATAGGTTTCAAGACTACGTGGCTACATCGACATGGCTGCATTGCTGAAAATCGTGGCTATGATGGCCGATACGGACACGAACACAGATACTGAGAGCTGAAAAGAGAGTGGCACGGAACAAGGTTTGCAGCGCTGGATGGTTCCTGGTCGCTTTCTTGGTCGTACCTGACAGCTGATTACAATGTAAGGATGCCGATCAACACGCCTAGATGGAGGCTCTTACTTTCAACCTTTATTGGAATTTGGCTACCTTCCGTACTTGTCATGATTTTAGGTGCGGCGATGTATGATGGAGTATCCGACGACGTCGCTTGGTCGGAGGCATATGCTGCGTATGGTGTTGGTGGCCCGCTTGCGAAGTCTCTCGAGCCAGCTGGGGGGTTTGGTAAATTCCTTCTCGTGCTCGCTGGCTTAAGCTCAGTTGCGGTGAGAGGTCCCTCGTTCGTGTGAGATCATTGCTGAGGTCTGCAGAACAACATTCCAAACGGATACAGCTTCGCCATCGCAGCTCAGAACTTTGGCCCATGGGCAATACGGGTACAAAGAGTTGTGTTCGTGACGATGGGCTTCATCGTCTCGGTGGTCGTGGGATATCTTGCTTCGCTATCATTTGAGGAGTCTCTGATTACCCTTCTGGACATCCTTGGATACTGGGTCGTATTTTTTCTTGTTGTCGTAGCGGAAGAGCACTTGATATTTCGTCGCTGCGACTGGTCTCGCTACAACTTCGACGACTGGGACAATCCTCATCAGTTGCCATTTGGATGGGCTGGCATTATGGCTTTTGTCTTCGGATTTCTGGGCGCCTTGATGGGCATGTCCGAGGCTTGGTACACCTCACCCATCGCGAAGTTGATTGGAGGTGGCAATATCGGCCATGAATTGACCTGTGGCTTTCAGCTGTCACGTTTCCATTTTTTCGATGGCTCGAGCTCAGGTTTCGGGGCAGGTGACTGTCAGGTCAAGCAAAGAGGCCACAGCAATGAGCGATCTGACCAGGCAAGTTGGGAATAGTTATCACTTTACCACGATCGCTCGTCCCTCCAGGGTTTCTGCCCAGCAAGTTTCACTGATCAAGCTCTGTCCCTGATGTAAGCAAAAGCTGCACTTCACAATTTCACAGGATGTTTCGGGGAAGACTGCCAGGCCGGCTGAGATGGTTGCTTCCTCCACACACTCTCTCTTTCCTGGGGTTGCTGTTACATCTATGCAACAATCATGGGCGGTTCGTGATGCCCCAATGCGTCTTCTCCCCTTCAACTAACGCGGGCATAACAGCCGGCCGAGCTTGCAGTTGCCACACTGGCATGCGAAATGGGTATCTTCAAAGCCATCGCTTCGTCGACCAACCCGCAGTTCATCGCACAGATCACACAACAGGCCAAAGGCAACGACCAGATGCTTGTGACCAAGGTTGTGCGCCTCCTCGCAGCGCACGGCATGGTCGACCAGATTGATGTAGACTCATACGGCCCAAATGACTTGACGAAAGATTTGACGGACACTGGTAGAGTTGGCGACAAGTACACCATGCTCTTCTCAATGAAAGCTCTAGCAGATATGCCGTATTTCTTCCGAGAGAACGGCTACAAAGTCGCAACCGATCCGAAGAACACTGTCTGGCAGAAGACATATGACAGCCGAACAATGTTCGAGTGGCTCGAAGGCAACCCAGAGCAGGGCAAATATTTCAATGGTACGCCAGATGAGTGCAGGTGCCTTGCGACATAGACTGATTGACTACCAGACTTCATGACTATAGCACGCAGTACTAATAGAGACGAGCTCGCCAAGCTTTACCCATTCGAAAAGTTGTTTGAAGGCACTTCGCCTGAAGATGTCCTTTTCGTTGACGTGTGAGTTCATCTTGTCCGACAATGGCAGACGCTGACCAGCGCAGGGGTGGCGGCTTCGGTCACCAGTGCATGAACCTCAGAAAGAGTTTCCCGTCGTCTAAGGGTCGTGTCATCTTGCAAGATCTGCCATTTGTCGTGAAAGGCATGGAGATACCTGACGTCGAAGTCACAGCACATGACATGATGACAGAGCAACCTGTCAAAGGTGAGTTCAGCAGCACTTTGGCCGGCTACATCCCAGAATCCCTGACGGCTCCAGGCGCACGAGCATATTACTTCCGCGGTGTATGCCATGACCATCCCGACGAAAGTTGCCGCAAATTCCTTGGACAGATCGTCAAGGCCATGGACCAAAATTCAAGAGTTCTGATTCATGATCAGCTCATTGAGGATCTGAACCCTGGACAGTACATCACAAGAGCGGATTTTGTCATGATGTCCCTATTTGCGGGCCAGGAGAGAAGTGAAGCGCAGATGAGGAACTTGTTGGAAAGTGTTGGTTTGAGAGTTGTTGGCATGCACAAGCCGGGTCCTGAGCAGTGGACAATCACTGAAGCGATGCTCTGAGGAATCGAGAGTGCCGTGGCCCAATTTCCATGTACATGCCAAGCAGTAAAGATAGAGGCCCCAGATAGTGTCGTAAGAAGCTGCACCGAATCTCAGAGATTCTGATCTAATCGATGCTGGGACCAGGAAAAGCACTCAGTGACATCCAGGGATCCAACCAGAGCATTCTTCAACTTACTGATATAAAGCCAACCACCCAGGCAATGCTAGGAGTCTATGCAACGGAGCATATACACCAGCCTGCAGGATGCCCGAAGTAGCTTGGCTAGGGACTTCCGTGATGTGCCAGATTGCTACTCGCTGAGCTAGTGGTGTACCACGATCCGAGAAGGAAAATTATGATTGGCGGGAAAGCTCATTCGAAGAAGCTGACCGTGAAGCGGAAGGCGTACATCTGATTCGGAATAGTCGCGCCAGGCTGCGCGAAGCTGGGAACATTCACCCTAGATTACGAAAATCCTAGGTATCGAGAACAAGCTCACGATGGATTCGCTGCTTGACTTGGTCTACCCCAATTGTTCATCCAGAATCGACAGCAAGGCCCGTCTGCATCATCTAGAGACGCCGTCTCGAATTGAAAGATTGTGACAAACTTCTTTGACTGAGATGCACCGGGGAGCGCATGCTGACATGGGGGAGCCGGGTTTCTTGTTGCGACCCATTGAGAAGGCCCATTTGGACGAAGATCAGCCCAAAGGGCAGTGATGCCACGTTCCTTCTCCGTGGCGAGGCCTGGAAAAGAAGCTAGGTGCCGTCGAAGGTCCTGTGATTTTGTGATACCCAGTAATTGACAGACGGGTTTTGCGACGCCGAGAAAGCGGAAGCTCACATGTGGCATGCAGCGTCCAGAGTTCTGATGTCCGACAAGTGCGACCCATAAAAGACTGTGTAGACTACTAGAGTCCTGCCACTTGGTAATGATCTCTGTCGTCTGTTGGAGGGTGCTATCAAGTCTCGCCAGGAGCGCAGGGCGTAGTGGTCCCGCCTGCGGCATCCAGAATCGAGCACTCGACAACCAAGTTAGCTGCATGGCAACTATATAAAGCTGCGTGAGCGCGTCGCCTATTGTGAGAGATGAAAGCCGGCACAGTCGAAACACAGTGTCGTATAACAAGTTCTGAGGAGCAGAAGTGGCCAAATGCCGTTCGTCGGCGGCAGCGCAGGCCTCGTGGATTTGGGACACGAGCTCAAACGCCTCACGCTCGTCGAAACCTGGTCGACATAATGGAGCCAGCTTGGAGCAGCGAAGGGCACGTTTCCGAGCCTCTTGGATGTGATGTGCAGTGCTGCTGCTCGAGCCTCGCAGTGGAACAGGCATCTGATATGGCAAAAACGGCGACCATGCAAATGCGGTCGATAGAAACAAGTCGATCCACGAGCATATCATCCAACAAGGTGCGTTGGGAGCATGCTGCATGGCGCTCAATGCTTGCGCCGCCGACATGTGCGCTCGAGCGGCCGCACGATCGCCCTGGCGCAGAGCGAAAAGCGCCAGGCCGCAGATGGTCAAAGCTGTCTCCGGGCAGGTCGACGCAAAGGAGTTGCCAAAGCCCTCGCGCACAAGTCGTAGCAGCCTGTTCTGGAGCAGAAATAAATCCATCCCATTGGTACGGCCCGAGAGCACCATTTGCTTGTGGACAACCAGGAGCATCAGGTATGTGAAGGTGACCTCAGACTTGGTTGCCACGTCCCAGAAGTTCTCGCCCCAGGCTTGGGATGATACGGCAACCCAATGGCCGCTCGATTTCGAGTCCAGCTCGCTCGTAAAGTACCATTGTGAGACCGAGCCTAAGTCTTTGAAACGGAGCTGGTCAATGACGCCGTAGGGATCCCGCAGACGTAGATGGGGTAGGTTCGCCAGTGTTGCTGGCAAGGAGAGACGGATGTCGTTCCGTACCACGGGCTCTGTTTCCGCGCTGTCTTCGTCTCGGCGTCCATGTCTCTTCCTGCCACGGGCGAATGGCAGAGTCAACTGTCCTGGGTATTGATACTTTGGCGCCATTGACAGGCGTTTAGTGAAGGCGATGGCAATGGCGATGGCACTAGCAATAGCATCTAAGCTGGCTGGCTGATGCCTGATGTATTTGGACTGCCCGATGCCTGAGGTATTTGGAGACGGAGCGGCAAGTTCGAGTTCGTGTGATGTCTGATTGTCCAGGTGATCATCGACCGACTGAAGGCCGGGGAGGAGACGCGCTACCTCCTAGCGACACCAACATGTCGAACACGCTAGCGACTGGTCGAAGTCAATCAGCCTTTCGCCCATCTCGCCTGCACTTCATCTCGATTTTGCGCGTCATTGCGTAGCTTGATTCTAGTACATCGAAGTTCACCAGCCCGCCGACAAATTTTGGTGTGTAGGTGCGAGTGAAGAGAGGAAGTAACAGGGCGGAGGGCGGAGGGCGGAGGGCGGAGGGCGGAGTTCCGCCAGCGGAGAATGGAGGCATCCCCAATGCCAAGCTCAGCGCACAATGGGAGATCGAAAGCAGCAACTACGCCAGAAATTGTGAGACACACCTTGCTGCTCGCTCGAGTCAACTCCTACGGACCCTGCATCTTACCGGCCATTGTACTTTCCATCCTCCGTCATCTAGTAGTGCGGCGATCAAGCTGAGGCTGCATCGGGATAAATAAGAGCTCACAGCGCCGCCTTCAAACGCTATTTGCAGAACATATCGTTGCTGAGATTGTCTTGTCTTGGCGATATTTGTCGTTCGGGGCGCTGCAGGCATCGCCAACAAGTGAACAGGACGATAAGGATCTGGCTTAAGGCAGGATGCAAATGGTTTTGGTTGAGCACTGGTCTGGTCCAATGTAGGATCAATTACACATTGTACAATACACCAATATGGATTCGCCATTGAGCTGATCTTGACTGGTACTCGAGGTTGTCCTACGCTTTACGACGACCCATAATCAGCTATCACTCGATCGAAGTCGGCCTCCAGCTGGTCGATAATAGCAGGCGCCGCCGTCTTGAACGCGCCAGTCAGCTTCGTGACAATGCTGTGGCCGAGTGCGAGTGTTGACGTCTTCTGCTTTGTCAAAGTTGTTGTGACCTGGATTCAATCAGAATTGGCCTGACACGGAGACGAAGCGTATGCCTGGTGCGACGAGGAGCTTCCTCCAAAACGTCCGACCTATGGCATGGATGTACTTACCAGGCCAGTGACATCAAACAGTCCGATTACTATTGATTGAAACGCAGGCTTCTTGGCTTGGATCTTTTTGAGCAGAGACTCCACGACTGGTACTAGACCGAGGACGGAAGTCGCAACCTTCAGAGACGTATCGTCGGTGAGTGTGGGCGAAGCTTCAACAATCTCGGTCGTATTCTCAACTTGTTTTCCGATGACATATGCTTGCTGCAGGATCTTGACTGCTTCTAGAAGATCGCCATTGAATGCTGCGACCATGGTATCCAGGGTTTGCACTGCTGCTTGCGTGCTGTTGAGGGCCGCGATGATCTTGTCCGCTTGACAATTGACGAGCGTGAGCAATGTGCTCAGCAGAACGACGGAGAAGAAGCGCATGGTGTCTTGTTGCCTGTCCCACACCCAGTACTCTTTTCTGCTCTTGATGGCCCGGTGCCTCAGTGTACGTGTTGACGGTGGATATGCGTTCGGCGAAGTCAATGCAGCGACCAGCGACACAAGGACTGATGTAAGAGTCTTCGAGGCCACGGGCATCAACCTCCGGGCATCCGCTCATTTCAGGTCTGCGCTCTGTATGACACCTCGGTAGCGATCCATGAAGGCAGAGCCAGCATTGCACTTGTCGTCTTCATGAGCCCAGCTCAGCATTGTGCGATCTCAGTGGCGGAGACGCTGAAGCTTTTGACGTACGTGCTCGCCATCCCAGCCTTGTCCAATGGCGAACCAGTGACAGGGCTGTTCGCCGAGATTATTGATAGCTCGTACCTGCAGTCGTTCAGGATACCCGGTCATCTGAATTTCCTATCTTTGGCAATTCTCAAAGACCTTTGCGGACTCTGGAACACGACATTGAGATACCAGATCAGCTCGAGATGCGGCGTACCAGCGCAAAGGAGTCAAGAAGTGGCCGACTTCTCAAACCGACCATCTGACTGCATCTCCCCCGTCCTGCGCAGTGGCAGTATCGTCTTAGAAGAGACACAACAGTGCGGAGAAGTCCTGAAAGCTGAAGTGCGACAACCGTTGGCAACGTGTCTTACTACTAACGTTGCTAGTGGTATTAATAACTGTGCACAACAATGATTTGCTAGCATTGATAATAAAGCTATTAGATCTGGCTCTGTACTAGAGCTTATAGTTATTCAAAGTACTATTAATACTATTTTAATTTGTTACATGCTTATATAGTAAAATATAAAGATTGTATAGACTAAACTCTTGCTATAAATAGATCTAAGTTAACAACTACCTTCTAAAAATTTATTATTTAACTAGAAATACTAGCTATAGGTTAGGAATTACTTTCCTACTACTATTTAAAATAAGATTTAAGAAACCTAGTTTATAGCGTCTAGACATTTCGGAGCGAAAGTAGGTATTTACTAGATCCTTGTTTCTTAGGGACTATAGCGAATAGAAATCTATTATTTAGCGGGCTACGCCTAGTTACTTTTAGTCTAAAATATAGAGACGCTATAGAATTTCTTTTTACTATTATTATGTCTTTTTAAAGTTAATTGCTGCTACAACTTCTGCTTTAAAGAGTACTAGAATTAATATTCTATTATAAATCGAATTAAGAAAAAATGACTTTTTCCTAGTAATCTAGTTAGTCTTAATTAGGATCTTATAGAGAGTCTACTAAAATAGAGAATGGTAGTAGCAACAGTTAGTAATAGTATAATGTTTACAAGCATTGCTACTTACCAACGAAGTGTTGCTAATAACACTCCTATCGATTTCAGTCGCATCGTTGCTGTTGTGGCTTTAGGTTTTGCGGTCCGCCCGATGCAAGTCGGGAGATCCTGGTTCGTTTGCATCAAGGCTGGATGTGAAACCGCCTCACAGTAACGCTTGCGTATCTGCTTATTATGTCAGGCTGAGGATCTTCATCGGGTCTCGAACGACATGTTGAGTTGGAGGCTACGCTAGTCACTTCCTTGCACTGCTCTCGATGCTCTACGCTCTCTCCTTCCTTACAAAATTTATCTCGCATTGTAGAGATCTTACCAAAGCGAAGTACAGAAAGGCCCCTGAAGGAGCTCCACGGCATTGTCTCTGCGATGTGCTTAGCATCCTCTTTAACTCCTGGCGAAGGAGCTGCTTGATTGCACAAGCTCTTGAAACAACAGACTAGGCAGCCATATGCTTTCTATCGCGGAGCTTTCGTCATGTCTGTTTCAAAAGTGTGCACGGTCTGTTGTAAATATGTTTGGCAGTGAGTCGTAGATATAGAACTTGCTCGCTCCTATAACGGCAAATCCATCAGCAACCATCACTCATCAAATCACGGAATGGGTTCCACAGGAGATATCAATCGCGCACAAGCGCAACATGAGCTTTGCAAAGAAGCATTTGGATCGCTCACACTGGACGCAGTCGATCTCAAGCAGTCCAGCTTGCGAATCCTTGATGTTGGGACTGGAGACGGTTTCTGGCTGCACGAGATTCGTTCGCAAATGAAAGATCCCGACAGCGCGGATCTGGTGGGCAGCGATACATCACTCATACCTTTCGAGCAGCGACCCTTTGACGTTCCATACAATATGCGATTCTTATGCCAACATCCGCTCGAAGAATGGCCGAAAGATCTCCAGGGCTATTTCGATATGGTACATATCAGAGCCGCATTGGCCACTATGGCGGGGTCCTTCGATGCGGCAGTGGACGTTGTGGCCAGGCTCTTGCTACTTGTGAAGCCAGGCGGCGTCATCTTACTCATTGATCGCTCGTTCGAGCCGGGTGCGATGGCACCTGCAGCCTCTCCAAGTCAGAAGCTGTTAAAGATGCTGGGCAACATGTTTTCATCCCACGGTATTGATGGCACTCTTGGTGGCGAGCTCGCAGTCATACTGGACTCAGCCAGCAGAAAAGCGGGTATCGAAGTGAGCGACGTGGGAAATCGGAAGAGACCTTCGAGGATCGGAGTCGGGGCAAAGAATGGCACGGAAGAGCTTGGGTACGCGTGGCTGGATCAGCTACTTAGTAGTGTCAGCAGGGCAGGAAAACAAGAAGAAGATCCAAGTTTTATCTCTGGCGGAATCAACGAGCTTTTTGCTCAAACCATGATGGAAGCAAAGACTGATGGATTTGACGTGGACTGGTACGCCGCCTGGGGCAGGCGGAAAGATCATACTGAAGGACTTCTCGAAATGCCGGCGTGATTACAGACACAATTACGATGCTGCGAATACTAGATCAAGAGACTATGGTACACGATCTTGCGGATCTCGGAGTGCTTGTCCGTAGTCTCCAGCGTTTGGCGTACGGCAGATTGTGTGAGTGTGGAACTTTGCTGGCTCCTTATTTGTCAAGAAGACTCCTGAATGATGATCAAACTCGAATATAACCACCGGGCTCTGAATTCTGTAGTAGAACGCGTCGTCGTTTCCATATCCGCCTATCCAGCTGAAGTATGTTTCGTCGAAGTGCTCACTGATGTGGTCTTTCCTCCTTTGTCGCGCCTTGGCCGGGAGATATAACGAGAACTCCTCAGCAATATCGAGGATGAGCTGCTGCTGCTCAGGAGTCATCGACGAGACTTTGATGCCCTCATAGGGCACGACGCGGTTGTCTCTGAATGCTCCGCACAGATGCCGTTGATCATCTTGGTTCCATCTATCGGTTTTGAGATCCCCGGTCTGCTTCATGGCTGGATCCCGCATCAGCTCATAAATCTGCGCTTCCTTTTGATATGACCTTGGCAAGCTTTGCATCAATTTGAGGCCAAGATCGCCTTCCTTGTGCAGTATAGCCGTGCCTTTCCATGGACCATTGTCAATCAGGTTCGGTTCCGCGCCTGTGAAGCATGGAGAAATGGTGATGTGGCGGCCCTTCAGGAAAACATTCAAGCAGAGATGATGTCCATACAAAGACCAGCCCCAAGCTTGATCATTTGATGGCTCTCCAAACAGCAGGAAATTGTAAGAATACTGGTTCATGATTCTGGGCACTTCGCATACTTCACCAAGAAAATGATTGATGCGCATGGCTGAGAGAGCCTTTTCATACCCTTCGGGGGAAAATGTGGCAGCGATAACGGCAAGTATTGACTGTGCGACATCTTCTGGAAGTTCTTCTAGTCGTAGTCCAAATGGGCGAAGGAGGAACTCTGGGTTGGACCAGCAACGCCATTCTTTGGCTCCCAGAGGATATCGAAGCTTTTCCTTCTGCTTAGAATCCAATTTGGACAGGACGGAATCTGTGGCTTTGACTATCCCTTCAATGTCGGCTCCGAGGTCCTCCTCCCGGAAAAGACCTTCGCGGATATGCCCTTCAGCATCGATCAGTATCTCCATTGATCGTCATGTGCAAATCTCACCAACCATCAGATGTCACGCCTGTGTAAGGCTCCTCCAGAAGCTCCTTCCAGGCCTGTGTCAGGTTGTACAGCCAGGGTGGAACATGGTTCTTCTGAAAGGCCTCAGAGTATTCATAGGGACTTTGTTGTGATGAGATCTGGAAGCGTGGTGTGCTCAGATCTGGCAGATGCTGTCGGAAAGCCGAAGCCAGATCTTGGTCGACGGCACCGTTCATGCCGTGCGTGAGTTCCCGCTGGTGCGTCGTGCTGTGTGAGATGCTGGTGTGTGAATGGAGGCTCGTCGGGTCAGATCAATAATGTAGGAAGCATCAACGGCCGCTGGTGGCTTGCATATATGTCTTGAAGACCTGTTCTGCGCCGGCATTTGACCTCCGCAGCTTTCCCCATGATGCTGTTGTCGTCAGGCATTGGATTGCGTGAGGTCAGATCGGGTGGGAGCTCGGCTTTTGCTCGTCCGACGCGGAAACGAAGGAGCGGCCATAAGCAATCTTGTGCCCTTCTCCTCCCGCGAGTCCTCCGCGCAAAGAAGCGCATATCGACATGGCCTTCTGCGCCCTTCTCCCGATCTTCGGCTTCTCAAAGGAATAGAATCAGCCTACGCGAGCCAGAACGTGGCTTCGGCTTTAAGCAGTGCTGGCGTTGGCGCCTGAAGGAGGTAAATACCTATATTGTGCTGTTGATTCCCCATTCTCCTACTCTCCTATCGAATCGGTACCGAAACACGCAACATGGCTTTAGCAGAAGCACCAAGAGGCCCTTACAGGCTGGTCACAGTAAACACGGCGCCGGATCGAGCGAAGCGGCTGATTGGGCGCCTTGTGGATGCATTGAAGGACAAATACGAGATCAAACATGTTGCCAATTGTGAAAGTAAGCAATGACGCCTTGCTGTGCACGCATGACGGGGCGAATGGGCTGATAAATGGCAGGAGTGGATGAGGTTGAGAGAGCTGTGACGGACCAACAGCCAGAACTCCTCGTACGATGCGAATGCACCTTGATGGGCTAATTTGAAGGGCGGCTGATACTATTCACAGTTCTGCGCATCGATGTGGACATCTGAAGAAGCGGCTGAGATTCAGACTATCGCCAAGAACGTCAAACCAGACGTAGCGACCTATGCCATACCGTATGGTATGCAAGTGCAAGAGGGCCCGGATCGAGTTGTTGAGCATTTGACGTGTATGGTTCCTCAAGTGCTGGAATTGCACTTTGGGGTCTCAAAGGGATGACTGAATCACCCTACGAGCGGAACAAGCTTGAAAGATGAGGATTGTAGGCCGGGAACATAGGCACAATGGAGATGTTAAAAGGCTGTTCTGGCAAAAGAAACCCTGGGGAACACGCTACGCCCCGACCAGCGGAGACTCCATGCGGCAGGTCAAGAGAGCAAGTCAACGAAGTTATGCACAGTCGGGCCGACGCTGGCCAAGCAGGTCCACGCATAGAGAGAGGACATTTCTGATAGCAGCTAAGCATCAGAATCCAGCGACTCGGTGGTCGCTCATCCATTCAAACGCTCATTGGTTCATTCGTCTGGCTGATACTTGCGTTTCTGCCGTATACGTTCTCCATATTTATCAAACAGAAATGGTATAGGAATCAAAACAGGATTGAGAAGAATCCGAGGATAGAGCATGCCCATCCGGTTCCCACCCCTTCGAACCTGAGCCAGACACGTTGTTAGAGTATGGACCTACAACGGCTGCCGTGCACCACGACTTACATCTGAATTGCGAACAAAGAGAAGGCAAAAGCTGTCGAATAACGTGCGAAAGTATTGCTGCTCGCAGCAGAAGCGCCATACTTGGCCTGCACTCGTGTCTGCAGCCACGCTCTGGACTCGAGACTGCAGCATACTCACGCCGTAGCAATCTTGCAAGAACATCAGAGCACACGTGAAGATTAAGATATTGGCACAGCTGAAGAAACCCTCAGCGATGACGGGAGAGATCCAATGAACTCTATATTGAGCAGTCCATCCATACCTGAAGAGGCCGATGGGAAGCAGAACTGCACCTAGCTTCGCAATGATAAGTTTGCGTTCAGGTGGGAGTCTCGCGTTAGGATCAGACTCTTTCATGCGATTTGTCTCCTTGACCCACACGATCTTGGACGTGTAAACGATGACTACGCAACCAGTGATTGATCCAACTGCTTGTCCGAGATCTGTCAGTCCAATCGCTCCTAAATTGAAACCATAAGTGTTCTGGAAAACCCAGGAGAAAGCTGCAAAGAAGGCGTTGAGAAGTCCGAAGAGAAATGCAGTATAGATGTCGAAGAAGGTCACAATCGGCTCTGTGAATGTCATGTGCATCGGTCTGATCAGGGTTCGTCTTGCGAATAATCTCATCGACTGAGTCCTCGACGAGCAAAGCATGGCAGCGAATGCTGCTCTGCTACTATCCAACCGGAGAAGACCTTTCTGGACCGATGCCTCTTCAATAATATCAGGCCTTGCTGTCAATGTTGGGCTTGTGTCCTCCCACGACGCAAGCGCTGGAGCTCTCACCTCTTGCGTACCGCTCGTGCGTATTCAGGGACAGCTGCTGTATGCCAATGCTATGCCATTGGCACAAGCTAGATCTGCAGGGAGCATGGGCCATATGCCAGTTCCTTCGACATCGTACCAAACACTTGATGACGTGAAGGTGCGATGCAATGCTATTTGTCTGGTAGCATTAACAGTCGGCGAAGTTTGTCAAGACATCCATGCATGATGTTCTGCGAGCTGCTCGTTAATTCATGCACCACTTGGGACTGACCAATGCTTCTGCTCCAGTCCTCGAGCCCTTTGCTGCCTCCGCGCGCTGTAATCCAGCCATATCATAAATCATAACCTGCACTAGCCAGCCACGTCCCGACTCCCGATGGGAATCGCGCAACTGGAACTTGTCTTGTGCTGCCCCGATTTGTTTAGAGCCGTCTACGCAACAGCATGGCAAGCCACAGCGAACCTTCTGCTCAGTATGTGGATACCGGTATCTCGGTGGCAGATACGACCCCGCCCCGCCCCACCCACCTGCCACCTTGCGCCGATTCTGTGCTTGCCGAAAAGAGAAGCCTCTATACTCGAAGCGTTTTACGTATATCCGGGGCTGCGTTAGTCTACTTTACCCCTCGCCGTAGCTCGGGAAATTAAACTATACGTAAAATCGCACTTTGCTAGTAAGCTATACGTAGAAGTCGATAATAGTAATATTATAAAGTATATATAATAGGAAACTAAATAGAATTGCGATAAGGGTTAAGAGATAGTAGATTTCCGGTATATTAGCGACTAAATTACGACCGTAGGACCTTAGTCCGGCCTCTTAGTAAATCTCGAGTCTACTATATAATTAACTACTTTGCGAGTTAGCCTATATATCTATTATATAACTACTACCTCTTCTTACTAAGTAAATAGCCTATTACTATTATATCTACTATCTATACTATCTATCTATTCTAGCTTAATTAGGTTGTTCTTACTACTAGTAACCGCGCCCCTATAATAGCTAGATTTCTTTAGAGGCCTATAGAAACGGCGCTTACTTTATATAGACTTATAGCGGTAGCGAGGAGGTACTAAATAAGGCTAGACTATAGTATATATAGTATTTTTATTAAGTAGCGCTTTGTCTTATTATAGCTAGTCTAATTAAGTATTAGGTCTCTACGCGAATAGGCTACCTACTCGTCGCTTTAACTTACTAGTCTATACTATAATATTATCTTCTTTATAGTCGTAGGTACGAGTTAGTAGAAATAACGTGCTTGTTAGTAACTAAGTATAAGTAATATTGCCGCTTTTAGTAGTATTAGTATACCGCCTATAAAAGTAGATAACGTTAGCGTATAGATTACTAGTCTTCTTTAATACGAGACTATTATTAGTAGCGAGAAGCCGTAGGTTAAAGACTCGTCGTCGCGGCTTATTAATAGACTAGTGCTTTACGTCTATCTACTTAGTCTTACTATTATTATTAGATGCTACTCGGAAGGCTTTACTAGTATATTTAAGTCTATAGGTACGTACTTTACTATAAGTATTCTCTACCTTCTAGATTATCTTCCGGTAGTTATTATTAGCTAGGTCCTTATTCTATTAAGTAAGTTACGAGCGTAACTTATTATCGGCCTCGATAGTACCTACTCTTATAAGCCGATTAGGCTACTCCTTCTATCGCTTCTTTATAAATTTAACGATACTTATAGACTAATACTTACGCTTATATTAATATATTCTTTACCCTTATAAATAGCCGTATCGACTAGTAATTCGTATACCTTCTTTATATCCTTTATAGGTAAAGAGGAAAATAGGTTAAATATATAGTCGATACCGAGTAGGGTTAGCTTTAGATACGAACGTCGAAAGTTCTTACGAGCTTATATAGTACTACGAGACGCCTTAATCGTATAAGGGCTAGTTATAGTATTTAGAAGCTATTATAGCAATTTAGGGATAGGGGTCCGGATTCGCTAAGAAGGTAATAAAGGTATACCTTAAGTAATTATATTCTCGAGTCCCCTAGGTAGTAATAATTATTAGCGTAAAATAGGCTAACTTAATTAATAATAGTAGGCTTAGCGGAATAGCCTTACTCGACTAAGGCGATATATTCCTACTAAGTAATCTCTACTATTGCTAGCGATTCTATATACTAGGTTTCCTCCTATACTAATTCGCCCTTAATTACTTGCTAGTTCTAACTCTAGTCTATAGTACTATACTAATCTCGAATATAATTCAAATTATAAGTTATCTTCCTATTCGTTAGGAATATACCTATCTTATAGAATACCGACTATATATTATAGCTAGTAAATGTCTTTGCCCGGGTAAAATACTAGCGCCTCTACAAACTTAGGTATACTAAACTCGCTAATACTATAATATATAGCTTATAAAACCGCGTATCTATGCCTTAACCTATATACTTAGAATAATATAAAGTTAAGAGGCTATATAAAGTGCAAAGTATATAGTTATAGGCCTAATAATTAAATCCTATATCGCTTCGTAAAGGCCGCAAATTCCTTAAAGTAGTAGGAGCCGTAATTGTTATATAGAAGTACCCTCTATTTATTTAGATCCGAGTCCTTAGGCCTTATCTTACGCTTAAACTAGTAGATATAGTATATAGTTGTATTATCTATTATATAACTAGACTTATTAATAGTAATTAAGAAGTTCTTTTTGCCTATTATTATTAGTAGGTAGCGTTATTAGTAGTAGCGTTATTCTTATATAAGGTAATCTACGAGACTAACCTTATAAAGGAATCTACCTCCCTTAAACTGTTACCGCTTTAATAATTAACTAATAGTCTATTGCTATACTATAGGTATTATATAATATAGGTTAGGTAAGTAGGTAGATAGTATAGTTAAAAGCGTATAGTATTCGATAAAGTCTATAAGGGAGGGAGAGAAAGGTTAGGAAGCTAGGCTAGTACTAAGCGCTAAGCCCTACCTAAGGCACTAAGACCCTAGCTTTACTTAGCCGGTTATATACCTTTTATATGCCCTCTAATATAGGCTTTCCTTCTAAAGGCTACGCCCTCGTAGCTATTTCTTATTATCCTCTTACTAAGTTATTAATATAATAAGCCGCGCTTCTTACGCGCTAAATCGAACGCTTAACGAGCTAATTACGTTACTAGCAACCTTATTATTAAACCTTACTTTAATGTCTGTTATATAACTACTCTTCTAACTAAGCTATTAGTATTAACCCTATAGTAAGGGTATATTAACGCTATAATAATATAGTACCTTTAACTAATAACGACGCGCGTACCTAGCTATAATTAGGTATAGGAAGTTATAGTAATCCGTAATATTATAGCCTCTAACTCGCGGTATTTCGTAATAAAGTAGTCTATTATTCTCTCTACTTTCTCTATCTTAGTTAAACGCTTAGCGCGTACCCTCCCTTTTATATTTCCGACCTTCTTACGCCTTATACTAAATTTCTTATATAATATATATAGTAGAATAGAAGGAATAGGAGAAAGAGAGGGAGTATAAGGAATACTCGTTTTAGAACAAGGTAGACGCGCCTACTAAGCGACTATATAGGAAAGCGGCGATAGCGAGGTCTATAATTACTATCTACTCGGATAAGGCTATATATATAATATTTAAACTCGTAGTTTTATACTATTATATTCTATATATAACTAGATACCCGAATAGGACTAGAAACTACGACTTTATCGAGTTTTATATATAGTCTACTAATAAAGTACGATCTTATATATAGCTAGAAACTCTATAATTAGCGGGCGTAAAGTATATACCGGAACCCTAGATAATTATAATATACCTAGACGGGCGCATATATAGCTACCGGCCGTATATAAACATTCCTAGCTAATACTAAGCTTTTAAGCCGTAGGGTAGCTAATACTATCTCTATAGTCTACTATAGTAACTAACTATCCTTTTTCTAGTAAATAATATTTATTCGCTATCCTATAGTAATATATACTATACTATAAATACTAGTAATATTAATATATAAGAGTTTAGTATAGGGAGTACTATATCTAGTAAGATTATTAACTTATTTGTCTAATTTGTTTTTAACTATCTATAATTTATTACTATCTAGTAATGTTATATACTACTAGATTTAATATAATCTAAACTACTAGAAAGATTTAAAATTAAAAGTAGACCTTCTAAGCTATATACTAATAGTATAATTTATTTTAATATTTAGATACTATAATATATGTTTCTATATCTATATTATAGTATTCTTATATATACTAAGCGAAGCTAGTAGTAATAGTATCTAGAGAACGTAATAGTAGGATAGTATACTATAGGTATAATACTTATAGAAAGATTCTATAACTAAAGTAACTAGTTCTGCTAATTATTAGAATAACTAGCTTTTTATAGTAATTTAGGATACTTTATTTTCTAGTATAAGAGGCAAAGCTAAGAGGTTGCGGCTTGAAAGCTTAGGATTTTTGCGGCTCGGAATAGCCTATCGCGGGAGGCTGCCGAAGACACAACGTCCCACAGACTGTGACAACACCTGCCAGCCTCTGGCCTTATTAGTGCATCTCATACATACACTGTCGAACTACGGCGCTACGCACTCCGATAGTCCGGACGACGTAGCCTAGCAGAATCTGCATATCGATCTAACTCGCGGCCAAAGTCTATCGCCGGAGTTACTCTCCTTGAAGGCATTGGAAACGACACTGCATGCAGATCAGCTTCATTACAGCGCATCGAATATGCACTTTCCAAGCCGAGCTCTCCACAGCATTCGTCGACGATGGCTGACACGGGGCAGAAAGATACCAATGGGAACACCCGTTGAGTGGACCATAATGGCCGTGGTTCTCACCTCGACGCCGTATATGGCCGACCGACGCCCCGATCCACCTTGAGCTCTGAATGTTTTCAGAGCCGACCATCATCGTTATAAGAGCTGCATTGTTCCTGCTGGTCGGTCGATGACGGCAGGTTCGAAGCAATCTTCTCAATCATCGTGGTCGAAGATCACCCGCAGATTTTGTTCTTGTTTTTGTTGTTGTTTTTCCGAATCTGTTAACGAACCCCCTCGACATCACAAACCTCCCCTTGCACATCATACTCACCTCAAGCAATCTATTTCACCCCCACCACCATCAGACATTGAAGCTCCGATCAGAGCTCCGTCTGCACAACCTGAAGCTCCTAAGCTAGGAACTTCCCTATCACTATCATCAGCCCAGCCCTTAACTGAGACGGCAAGGACTAGACGGTCCTCACGAACAACCATGCAGCAATCACAAAGACTACAAGGAGCACCAGCCGTAAAGGCTAATGCTACCGCAACTAATGGTTACACAAATGGCGCGAATGGATACTTCTCTCCTCCTGATTCGCCATCTCTTCGCTTCGGAGGCTCTACCCGAGGCAGCAGAAGGATGACGTCCTCGAGCTGGTCTGTTTTGAAGAGCTCATCGAGCGAGAAGTCCACCATTGTGAGAGATACCGCCATTCATCTCAAACGCAAGAGCACTTCTGAACTTGGAGCTGGAATCTCTGATACCGCAGATAACGTCGGTTTCATCAACCTAGTCGAGTGGATCCGCACCGAGCGTCTCCACACTCTCCCGCATAAGGGATCACGATGGGATACCGTCCTCATCCGAGCTCTCTACTTTGCAGAGCGTCTGCACGGTTTTGAGTCCGCACTGAAAGGTCATGCCGTTGACAGTGAGCATGCGGCTCAAATCGGCTATGGCCATGTCAAGGTTCTGCTCGAGGTAAGATCGCCGCAGAACAGATAGCACGCAGCTCGCTGACATTTTCCAGCTTGGTCATGAGAATGGCGCCGCTCTCGACAAAGCTTTTGGCTTCATGTACCGCTGCTCTTCTGCAGTATCCGCACTTCTCGCGCGCTCTGAGGTGCTGTCATTCTCCTCTGAAATCTACCAGCAGCTCTGCATGATGTATTCAGATCTTCTGACGCTGGTGGTCGACGTCGCTGTACGTTTCTACAAGGCTGTTCATGGCAACAGTGGCGAGCAGGCCAGCTTGGATATGTATCACGTGTTTGGCTCGACCATTCAGACTTTCCGCGAACGCCGCGACAAGCTCACCAAAGCCATCTGGAAAGACCAGATGGAGTCTGAAGAGTTTGGAGGAGAAGCTGAAGTGAACGTCCTCGAACGCTGGCTGGCCCCGGAGGACCGAATTTTAGAAACACTCTCCCTGGACCACACCTTGATCGCCGATGACTTGGCCGAGTTCACTTGCGTCTGGTTTAACGACGAGCTCAGCAAGTTCGTGAAGAGCAGTGATAGCACTTTGTTGATCAACGGCCCTCAGGGCTCGGGCAAGACCACGCTCGCCGCTTCTCTCGCCGAGAGACTTCAACGACCAATTGCTCGCAAGACGTACTCCACGATCTTCGTCTCTGTTGGTGCCGTTCCGTCGCAAGCCAATTCCTTCAACGTGGTGAAGGCCCTCCTCCACCAGCTCCTCTCTCTACGTGTAGGCAACCTCCATCTGGTTCGCGCAATCCTCACTGCCTACGAGCAGGCTCGATATGAGCCGGATCCGGCCAAACACGAGGACTTGCTATGGGTTGCCTTTGAGGACGCTTTGCGACACCCTATTGAGCAAGGTCGCGATACCGTCATCGTTGTCGATGGTATTGATGAGGTCCTTGGCGGTGCTTCTGCTGGCCAAAGTCTGCTGCAGCGCCTCATTAAAAGTGTAGAGCAAGGAAAGTGCGTCAAGCTTATTGGCATGTCGCAGAACCTGTCCCTTCCTTCAGGCACCAAAGGTACTCGGCGCTCTCTAGCTCGTGAGGAGATGAGAGACGATGTGCACGCTGTGGCCCTCAGAGCACTCATTCACTCGTCTCACTTCCGTCAAAAGACTGGACGCGAGCAAGAGACCATCATCAGCCGCATTATTGAAGCTGCTTCTGGGGATTTTCTGTGGGCTTCTCTCACAGCCGAGGTCCTTAAGCTCGAGAAGACTGCCGACGACTTCAACAAGGCTGTGAATAACGTTCAGAGTCCAAAGCTGACTGTGGATGATCTCGTGCACATTCTGGTGAGTCGTCTTCAGCCGACCGACGACGCGAAGCTCCTTCTCTCCTGGCTAACGTTCGGCGCTCGTCCCCTTACATACCATGAGATCGAGTGTATCTTTGCCATGAATGTGCAAACTGGCGACAGAGCAGACCGCCGCGTCGACGTTCACAGTACAGTGTTCTCGCTCAAGCCTCTTTTCACCATTCAGGAGGATATTGTGCGACCACGCCACACACTGGTGCAGCAAGCTGTACGGAACTTGATCAAGAGTGGCAAGATTACGAACACCATCAAGGACCAGCCAACAGACCTGCTCTTGCGTCTGTTGACCTACGCCAAGGTCACTCTGACTGAGAAGGGCGAGCCTACTCTCGACGACTCCGATCGCAGCATTGTTGACCACTGGTTCAGCAAGAATGTACTGCTCGAGTACGTTGTCCGCTACTACACATGGCATCTCAAGCAGACCGGAGTTGTGACCACAACGACCGGCAAAGCTCCAGAACTCAAAGTGACACCAGAGCTCCAGAAGGTGTTCCCAGACAGCACTATTCTCGCTGTACTGGAATGGCTCTGCTGGGAGTACCCTGGCGCTCAGGAGGTCGAGTATCACGATCTCGCTGGTAGACTGAGAACTAAGATCTTCACTGAGAAGCATCCCTCGGTCATCCAATCCTATATCAACACCGCCAGTTACTGGGAAGTCATTGAGGACTGGACTAAGGTTGGTAATTATTACTACTCCATCTGCACCCTTGGCCGTGATGTGCTCGGCAATTCGCATCCCATCGTTGTCGAGGCCTGCAACCGCTTCTTGCGCAATACCGAGACCACCACCACCATCACATCCAGGACTGAGCTTGTTACCAGACGCGAGACAGTGTTGATTTGGCTCATCTCGGCTTACGAGCGACAGTTTGGCGCGCAATCTGACATGGTCATCCGGGTTCGTGAGCTTCTAGCGGATCTCTATATGGCCATCAAGGAGGAGGACAAGGCGAAGGAGATCTTGCGCGTTATTCATGGGCACACCATCGCCGAGCATGGCCGTGACTCAGACCGGGTCCGTGAGATGGACCAGCACCTCCGTGTCAGCCTTGGCAAGAAGCGCGACGGCAAAGAGCTTGAGGGTTATGAGCGTGGCATCTTCATCGATGAGGACGAGGACGAGGAAGCGACTGCGATCACCAGCATCGAGCAGGTTGACGCCATGCTGCTCGAGATCAAGAAGTACATGGAGCAGAAGGACTACATCCGCGCAGAGCAGAGTTATGTCGAGCTCTGGCAACGTCTCTCCGAGAAGACTCGTACCACTCTTGCTGTTGAGTGGCATGAAAAGAAGATTCAGGTCATTCAGCAATACGCCGAGTACCTCGAAAGCCACAAGCGACGCACTGAGGCCACCAGTCTCCAGACATCGCTCTGGCGAGAGTACGAACATCACGAGCTGTCGTACAATGAGAAAGTCGTGTCTCACCTGACAAAGAGTGCTCGCTTCCTCAAGACAGTTGGAGAGTACTCGGCGGCTCTGGCCATCTTCAGGCACGCCTCCTCTTACTTCCGCAACACTCGCAAGGAAGAATCTCGTTCTCTGACCGAGATTGAAGAGGAGATGACTGTCATCTCGAACCAGGCTCTGACACAGTCGACTCGAGACGTGAAGCAGTCGACGTCGACCTCCGAGTCCTCTCACCACGAGATGTTCCAGGTCTTGATTAGCAACAAGAGCAAGAGTGTTGAATCCAGCACCGTTACTCTTGCGAAATCGCTCACTAGCCGCTACATCGAGCAGAAGCAGTGGTCCAAGGCGATCTCAGTCATCCATGCAACTCTCGAGCGGACATGGAGCTCCTTCTTGTCCAAGTCCATTCATGAGGTCACGTTGACCTCCACTTATCAGAAGGAGAGCATCGAGTTGGTTGAGCAGCTCGCGCAAGTGCACATTGAGAGGCGGCAATGGGAGAAGGCAGAGGAGGTGTACAGCCGTCTCTTCAGAGCCTCCCTTACCAGCACCAACGACACGACGCTGCTCGAGAAGGCCAAGACTCTTCTGATCGGCTTCTACACGCGACGCGGCCACGCAGGGAAGATCATCTCAGTGTACCAGGAGCTTCTGGCTTTCTATCGGCGCAGTCTTGGCCCTAGCCACGAGACGACCATTGCCATGCTGTACGAGCTGGGGTCTCGTTGCCGAGCACATGCTCGCAGCCATCCGTACTGGCTCGAGTATTACCAGCAGATTGTTGCTGCTCTGAACAAGGACTCCCACGTGTGCCACCCACGTGCGCTGGAGGCTGCATTGATTGTGGCCGAGTCGTACTGGGAGGAGCGTCGCTACAGTGACGCCGTCGCCGCATACCAGGTCGTTTGGACGACTTTCGTGCAGAAGCACCAGGAGTTCAAGTACTTCGGCGAGAGCAAGAACGCCCAGAGCCTGTACGAGCGCTACTACCAGAGCCTCGAGGAGAGCCAGGCGGACTTTGACGTGCTGCGCAGCGTGACTTCGCAGTACCGCGAGACCAGCAAGGCTGTGTTTGGCGCGCAGAGTGGCATCTTCGTCGAGGCGACGGTGGCGCTTGCGCGTGTCACGCAGTCCAGTGAGGCTCACATGGACGAGTGCATCTCGCTCTATGAAGAAGCGGCGGCGGCGGCGTCTGCGTCGAAGTCGTCGTCGTCGTCGTCGTCGCGCGATGTCGACGTCACGCAGGCGCTCACGTCCTTGTACCAGAAGCGCATCTTCCAGTCGGGCTCGGCGTCCGCCAGCTCCGAGACGATCGCGCGGGCCAGCACTGTCTACCAGGAGCAGCTGCAGCAGCACAAGAGGCAGTACACGTACGCGCATGACGACACGCTGGGCAGCTTGCGCGCGCTGGCCATGCTGTACGTGCGCCAGCAGAAGACGGAGCTTGCCGTCAAGGAGCTCCACTTTGCCGCGGTCGACATCGTGCAGCACGAGGAGTCGTCGGAGAAGATGTACCAGAGCGCGACGTCTCTCGCGCACGCCTACCGCGCCGCCGGCTTGACCGCGCAGGGCACGCAGTTGATGGAGGAGCTGCACTACCAGCTCGTCACGCGCGAGAAGCGCTCCACGTCTTCGTTCAGCGTCGTCGACAGCGCGCAGTCGGCCATCTTCTTCCTGGCCGTCATGCAGCATCAGCTTGGCAACGACCGCTCTCGCACCCTGTCCGAAATCATGTCCCGCGTGACTGCCGAGTCCATCGCGTACGCCAACTTCAAGCAGCTGGTCAAGAGCAAGGCTTCTCTCGACAAGCTCCTGCTGGCCGCTGCGCCGCTCCGTCACTTGCTGCGTGTCTGCCACCACGCCCACCTGATCCCATCCGTCGACTCTCCGTGCGTCGACATCTTCGTGGCCCGCGAGGCTGCCAATGTCTCGTTGCTCAGCAAACACTCGCCCCGTCTGTTCATCGTCGGCATTCTGGACCACATCGCCAACCGCAAGTGCCTGGACTTCGTTCGCTCCGTCATCCTGTCGACCACCAAGACCGTCCAGCACCTCGTCGACAACAACAAGTTTGCCGATGCCCACGATGTCGCCAAGATGTCTTTTCTGTATGCCCAATTTCGAAAAGGCTACAGTGGACCAAAGGGCATCTCGCGCGGCTTCGAACTTGCCTCCTATCTCGATGGTCGTGGCGAGAACCGCTGCCCCGATGCCGAGCTTCGCAAGAAGCTGTTGGCCTTGTCGAACCAGATCGTCAAGGATATTTTGAACATCTGCCGCGAGCAGCAGATCAATCTTGCGCAAGTATCGCTCACGGAATTAAACGAACTCATAGCCTTGTTAGGTGAGCAGCAGGACTACGAGACGCTAGAGGTAAGCAGATATGCCCGACGTAAGTCCCACCCTCTCCTGACCTTCCACACAGGAGCTCCTCAATACGCTGTGGAATACGCGCGAAGCCCAGCGCTCTTGGCCATCCGACGTTCTCCTCAACCTTGGTCGTTGCCTCATTTGCGCCCGCTACCTCGCCGGCTACCAGATCAAGGCCGTCCGCCTCGCCGAAGATATTGCATACAACCTGCGCCGCGTCAACGGTATCAAGCACTCCTCCACCATCGAGGCATACGGTCTGCTCGCTGAGCTGTACTCGAGCGTTGGCAATCATTACCAAAAGGAGGCAGGGAATGGGGACAAGGCTGCTGGGCCACTGGCAGCAGAGCACTTCAAGAAGGCTATGATCGTCCACGAAGATACCTTGCGATGGTTGCTCTCGGACACCACAGGCGGTGAAGTCGGCGGTGACGCGGATGATGACGATACTGCCGCGACGATTCTTGCTGAGCACGGCGTTCATGTCAATGCAGAACACAGTGGCCATGGTCACGCTACTGGCAATATCGATGACGCCAAGCGTACTCAGCTCGTGCAGAAGCACATGCGTCTGCTCAAGCTCGCATACCAGCGCGTTGGCCAATGGCCGAAGCAGTATGCCGTCTACGAGAAGTTGAACGCCGAGCTCTTCAAAGTCTTCCCGGAAGCACTCAAGGGCTATGAGGGTGTTGAGAAGTGGCAGGTCAAGGGCTTCGGTTCTGGAAAGGCCGAGAGCAATGAAGGCCAGTTCAAAGGGAGCGCTCACTGGGAAATCCTGGCTGTTTGAAGGATGGATGGTGCTTTTGTTGGTGTTTGTCACTTTGATCATGCGGGCTGGTGAAGTGGAATGATAGGATGAAAAGTAATGGAGTAATGTGTTAATGTGGGATGACTTCGCCAGTATTGTGTGATGCGGTCTTGAAATGTCTTTCTTCAGTCTTGGAATTTCTCATTTCGCAACAAGGTATCCTGTGGCACTGCCGTTCGGAAGGGCTAAAAAAATATCCTGTGGCTCGCCGCGTAAGCAATCCAAGAATCAAGAAGCGGCCGCTCGTGGTTTGTGGCAACGTGTTCTTCTCGTCATAGCAACGGCTCGATTAGAACAAGCACTGTACCAATTATACCTAGTATTCGGAGTCAAGGCTATTCTGAATCGATCTGTTGTCGCAAAATCGATATGCGACATGGTGGGGTTGAGGAATGGCCGATCAGGAGTCGGGAAGCGAAATCTGTCTTTTGAGTTTGAAGCGTTAGTGATGTGTTCGAAAACAAGACATGGCCGCGATGGAGACTGAATGGATCGAAGCCGTACTGGGCCGTTGACTTGGTGCATTGCTGTGTCGTGGTGTTGAAAGGACCGCAGCAGAATACTCCACCATTCGGCTTCCCATTGCCCTTCGCCAATATCACGTTGATCCCGCCGTCTCTTGCTACTACTCGAAGTCAGAGTTATGCATAGTCTACATTGCTAGGAAGCTGACCATCTTTGCAATATGTTGCACACTTTCCATCAGACCACTCGGAGTCCGTGCAGACACTCCCGGTGAGTCGACCTCCCCAATCATCTTGCTGATAACACAGGCCGTTTGATAAGCAGACCGCATCTTTGATGCAGCAGGCGCTGTCAACACCTGGATCAGTGTCGCAAGGTCTTAGTAGATCCTGATTCTCCGCTGCCAAGCCATCCGGAAAATAGCAGGTCTTGTTGTCTTGAGCTACACTTAGAAGCAGGTTCGTTCCAAGCAAGAGGAGTTTTTGCACATATCCAATGCCGGTCATTCTGGGTGCTGCGCAATGTCAAGAGAAGTGCAGAATGTCAAGTACGCATCTCGACCGGCGAAGGCTCCGACATATCTTTCGTTCAGCCGCATGTAGCACATAGGCTGTGGAGCTCAAGTCGAGATAAACGCCAAGAGCCAAGGCCTGTGTCGAGCTCTTGAATCGTCGATGGATGATTGCACGGAATTCTTTGGTTTGGTCTCAGCCGGATGACTTTTCAAGCTGCCGTCCATCATCGTTCGAGTCCCCATTTCTCTTCTACGAGGTCAATCAGATCCATCAGATCTCCACATTGCATCAATCTTCTCTTCTCTTTCTTTGTCATGCCTTCCATCTTTGCAGTCATCTCGTGAACGTGGTGCAGGACCAGTGGAAAAGGAATCGGGCACCTGACTACCCACTGCAAGAGATCCCCAACACTCCTTTCCGGCGGAATTGGGTACCCGGCGAACATGGTTGGATTCTCCATCAGTCCTCTAGCAGCCATGACTCCATCTGCACCTGTAATTCTCGCAATCCTTCCAACGTCTTCTTTCGAATAAGCATCTCCATTGGCCACCATCGGCACTCTGATAAACGTCCTCAAAACGCCGATAGCAGCATAGTCTGGCGGTGTGCTTGATCTCTGGCTTCTCGTTCTCCCGTGAACGGTGATATAATCGACACCAGCATCCTGAACAACGCCCAACCACTTCACCGTCTTCTGCAGATTTTTGTCAATTCGAATCTTGACACTGACACTCTTCCCTCTTCCAATTAATCTGCCCTTGGTAACTCTTACCATCTCCCCCACTTTCTCCGGCTGCTCCATTAAAGAACAACCGATTCCCTCTTTGATCGCCCAGCTTTGCGGGCATCCACAATTTAGATCCACGCCATCGACCCAGGGACTGATAAGGTCTGCTGCGCGCGCAAGCTCTTCTGGTTCTGAAGAGGCGAATTGCGCTATGAGGATTTTGCCTTCTTGACGCTCCAGAGGATGAGTCGTAAAATCTGAGTCTCGGGCTGTTTGAGAACGAATGAACTCATGGGCCAGCATCATAGGCGTGTAGACGACGTCAGCGCCATACTGAGAGACGAGAAGACGGAAGGGAAGTTTTGAGTAGCGGACCATTGGGGCGGAAATGTTGAGGATTTTGCCATCACTTGTGGCTTGTGAGAAAAGATTCAGTATGCTGGGACCAGGGGCATTAGAGAGTTCAATGTACCGCTGTGAAAGCAAGCACCTACCGTGGTGTAGACGATGCGTCAGCGTCCAGGTCGCCAGCATCGCGCATCTTGATGGCTGTGAGAATGAGGATGGACGAAGCTGATAAAAATCGAGATGAAAGTTGGGCGTTTCTGGTCACGTGGGGCTGATGACGGGATTACTTGGTATAGCATCATCTATTGGACCACATCGAGGAACATGTCCGAAGAGGGCGATTTCTTGACACGTGTGGGTATGGAAAGCCTTTCGGAAAGGTGTAACATGGTGCTTGACAGCTCAATCTCATTGAAACCTCACCTCACTTGGAACAGCGTCATACAGTCAATCACAAACATCTGCTGAGATTTATCCATGCACTCGTGACTACGGAGTCGTGAGCTTGGTCCCACGCAAGGGCACACCGCCGTACTGTAGCCAAACTGCACTTCCCACAATGTGCCGAGATGTCATCTATTCGAGCTCCAACGTTTAAGCTGCCACCGGGGCAAGCAATCGTCCCTTCAAGAATTCCGAGAAACCGCTCTCTACGCTTGCAGAGAAACGGACATAATTAGCCATAGCTGTGGAGCTCGTCACCGGCGGACAGTGCTCGATAACGGCTTGCACGTCCAATTCGTGTAGACCTTCCATTTCTAGCAGGTATTGCATCCACTCCATGCCCTCCATCCCGCACAATAAATTGAAGTCTGTCGCGGAGTATTTCGACACAAGATCCCAGCCGTTCTGGCCAGGTCGGCCAGCGACCACTCCTAGCTCAAGATGGCGGAGGTTGATGTCGCTAAGGGGATTGGTAATGTATCGCAAAGCATTCGCCCATTCGCATCTGTCGAACTCGTTCAGATAAGGGATGGCGCGTTTCACGATTCGCATGCTTTTGATGCAACTTCGCGCGAAAGATGTCAGGTCGGAAAGGAATGGAAGGATTGCTTCCACATGGGTATCGAAGTCGAAGGTGTACGCGCTATAGAGAAGCTCGCACGCTTCAGCGTGGATCTGCTTGTTGGCGCGCAACATGCCAAGATTGCCTTCGATGCGAGGATTGTTCACGCAATGGTAGGTGGTCTGCATGCACCGTGCTCGGAAGCGATCAGCCCGAACGCTGTAGCTACTCTTTGCGTGATGACGCTGGCCTACATGGCGCTGCTTGTAGATAGAAGGCTCGATTGTTCGTATGTGAAGCGTTGGGTTCTGCAGTTGCTCTTGCGCTGTTTTATCGCTACCAAACTGCTTCCTGTCGTAGTCAAAATAGTCCTGGGTGCTGGAGGAGACTTTCACGTAGCTCGCCAGTAGATCTGTGGATCTCGCTGGGAGGACGAGGAGCGCATATATGTGCAGGCGGATCTCTGTCGGCAATCGCAAGAAGGGTGAGCCGAGCATCTTGCGCTTGCTCTCCGGCGAAGGTGAAGGCATTTGGGAAAGCGAGTTGAGAGTTGGGAATGGTGGTGTGCGGGTTGGTGGCTGCACCGTGTTCTTGTTGATGCCTCCGTTGGTGCAGGGCGAAGTGTGCCGCTGGTCGTAGCTGTACCTGTTCTTCTCTTGCGGCTGGTAGTGTTCGCGACATGAGGTCCACAGCGGCCGCATGGAATTGGTACTTAAATTCTTGTAGCTGCCCTTCTCCTCCACCCACACCGAGGTAGGCGGGCGTTCCTGCTGCGAGCCGGCCATATTCACGGTCACTGGCGGTGCTCTAATCGTCGAAGTCAAAGAATCTTCGTTTGCCGATCCACCGGATGGCAGCCCGGCGGCCTAAACGTAGCACTAGACGTATACCTCGGAACCTCGCGATTTCCGGTTTCTTAGAACCTGGCGTTTTCCGGTCTCTCGTGTTTCTCGATATATCGTGTTTCTTAGTGCCTCGTGTTTCTCATTAGTATGTGTCGTTCAAATAGCAGTATTTAGCTATAGCACGTAATATACCGTGCTATACGCAATTCGGCGTATTGCGTTATCTCCGTTTCGCCGATACTGTATCGTAATGCTTAGCAGTAGCAAGCATCAACATTAGCTATCAATATTCCATCTAATTTCTATATAGCATACTACAAACGTACTATAGCTAAAGCCTCTCGAAATAGACAAGTTATAGGTCGCACGGTATACCTAGAACGGGATAATTAATATATTTAACAGCCGCTACGGCTCCTTATTCCGCGGCAACTATAGCTTAACAACTGTCTCTTTACCTATAGTATAGCTATCGTATACTATAGCGAAATGCCGGAGGTTTCTAAGCTCTTTTACGACATTAAAGTACCGGAGCAAGCAAGTATAAATAACCTCTTCTTTACCTATAGTACGCCTATTATATACTATAGCGAAAAGCTAGAGGTATCTAAGTACTATAGCGAAATGCCGGAGGTCTCTAAGTTCTTAGGACTTAGGAATAGATCTATACCCTACTAGAGTATCTATATACTGCTTACATTACGGCGGCGGCGCAGTTTGCTATAGTATATATTATACGTACTATAGGCCTTAATATACAGAGTAGATAGACTAGCTTCCTACGCTCCGCCGATCGCCGGCCTCGTTGTTATAAGCACATCTATAGCGGAGCTATCAATATCTCTAGCTAGAAGTGCTCGTTATCGTATTAAGCACTTTTACTAGCGTAGTTTAACGGAAAGTAGCTTAATCGACTTAACTTAGCGGTCCCTTATCCTTCGTTTCCTTCTATAGATTTATTAACTAAGCTATCGTTAGTATGCTATAGCAAATTAAGAAGGACCTCTGCTTATTTATTAGTATATACGTTAGCAAGCTAAGGAACAAGAACACTAGAAGTAGAAGTAGAAGATTGATATAGTAACAAGATTAGCAGAGCGAGAAGAGAGTTTATTTATAGCAGCAGCGCTACTATACGTAAACGCTAAACAGCAGACCTACTAAGAGTATAAAAACAAAGTAAAGAACATAGCCTATTATGCCCGAAGGCTAGCAAACAGCAAACAGCAAATAGTAAATAGCAAAAGCAAAAGCAAAGCAAAGCAAAGCAAAGAAGCAAATAAAGAAGCAGACTAGCTGCTATGCCTAAACGCTAAACACCGAACACCATTAGTAAGCATCGTACGTCTTACTGCTATATTTCAGGTCTTACTACGCGAAAAAGTAATTAGTCGCAAGTCTGGTTTACGCGGCGACACTAACTGTAACAAGTAGTAGCCGGAGTGCCGGTAGCATTAGTAGCCGCTACGGTATAGCGGCGACAATTGTCGACCTAACGACGGTCGTTCTATAGGAACGACTTGCGGGTGCAGCGGCGGCAGGCGGGTATACGGAGCTTACTAAGCCTACGAGCCGGGTCTTGGATCTAACCGGCGTAGTACTAGTTTGCTAACTTGCCCGAAGGCCTACGCGCGACCTCTACTTGCTAGACCTATATACGATAATTAGCTATTCGTTTATTAATCGATTAGTAAGCACAAGAATTAAAGCATACTATAGGATCAACCTCTACTAGACTACCTTGTGTCGGTATAATATATTAAAGGCCCTACCTAGTAGGGCGACCGCGGCGGCGAGGCGTAGGAGCGGCAGCGGTAGGCTTATCGTCGTCCTCGTCTTCTTCTTCGTCGTTATCGTTATCGTCGCTGTCTCTATACGATTATTAGTATACTACTTAACTACTCGATAAGACTGCTAGATAGACATACTGTTCTTAGGCGGGCTCGTAGTGCTGCTCGTTATTATTATTATCGCTATATATATATTAGTATCTAGATTTAAGCTTAGCGACAAGTCGGACTTATATAATAGGCAAGACGCTTATGTCCTTATCCTCGTCCTTATTATTATCGTCGTCGTCGTCGTCGGTAGCAGCGGGGCTATCTAAGTAGTTAGTATATTGTTTATCGATGCAGATTAAGGAAGAACTTACGCCTATAGTAGCGGCGGAGGCGGTAGTTGTGCCTACTATCTGCTATATAAGTTAGTATCTGAACTCGAAGATCGATTAAGGATTAAGGATTAATATACGCTTGCTACTACTATAGTAGTAGTAGAGAAGGCGGTAGAGGTACCCTCGTATAAGTTAGCAAGTCAATCCTACAAATAGAATAATCGAAATACCCTTACTATACTACTACTACTAGCTGCACCTACAGCCTAACTACTACTAGTGCTATAGCAACTCGTGCTGCCTTCTCTCGTACCGCGGTAATCTTAGAGTTTCGTATAGCGCGGCGTATATCGAGACGGAAAAAACTAGGACCTAGTTAGCTATTAACTACCCTCGACTGCTACTAAGTACTGTCTAAGAATGCATATACTCTGCTATTTAGCCGGTGCAGCCGGTTCTAATTAACCGTAGAGCGGCCGGGCAGGACATTACGCCGTAGACTAGACTATAAGCGCATTAGCATCTATCTTGCTAAACACTCGCTAATAGCTAGAACATACGACATTGCTTATCGGCTCGCTAGAAGGACCGAACTAAGGAGCTATCTTTATTACTTTCTATACCGTTAACGTAGTTCTTGTGTTTAAGGTGCTATTATAGACGAGGGTGAGAGGGTATATACGATATAGAGAAAGAAGGAAGAAGAAACGAGAGAGTACGGCGGAAGATATATAGTTATAAGAGCCGTAAGGGTAAGGTTTTAGAATTGTCGAGTAGCCGTACCGCTCGACAATAGCAATAAAGTAGGGCTACAGTAAAGTTAGGATAGTAAAGTCCCCTTCTAAGGTGAACCTATACCGTAAAAGTAATAGACAATAACCTATAGCACCTAAATTTAGGTACTATAGGTAATTCTAAGTTAGCCGCTAGTGTAAAGTTTACTCCGCCTAGGGAGTAAAGCGGAATATACGAGAGGCTTCCTAATTAGGCAACGACGGCAAGCATAAGGGTAATGCCAAGCGCCTAACTCGGACTAAATACTAGTCGCTAGCGAGGTATATGCTATAGCCAATTCGAGTATTATCGAGCCTAATTCGACGCCTATATTATAGGGCTACCCTCTAAGGCTAGGAGGAAGGAAGCTTATTCTATAGTAGCGATAGGGCTTTAGCTATAGTACGTAGAGTGTATGCTATAGTGAAATGCTATCGACGTCTCTTAAATAGGAAGGAGTGTTATAGCCTTGCGTCGCATCGCTAACGTGTGTTTACTAGAGATCTCGAATATCGAGTCGTCGTCGAGCTAAGCGCTACTGCCGCGGAGGTCTCCTAAGCTTAAAAATAGTTAGATTGATACGAAAGTTGAATAGGAAGAGAGTATTCGATAAATAGAACCTCCGCTGTCTACTATATAGGTCGCTATCTAGCGTCGTTATAGTGTCGTAGTATATAATCTATACTAGTATACTAAAGCCGGATTTAGCAGTTTGTTCGATTGCTCGATCGGAAGCCGCGCTATAGTATATACATTATACATAGTGCCGATTTGATTATGCAGGCAGTCTATTACAAGGCATGCGCTATTTGCTATTACGATTATCCGGTTATTCGGCTAGTGCACTATGCCGCATATGCTGCTTGCTATAGTAGTCACTTAGTTACGCTTGCTATATAGATAAGCACGTACTTATAGACAATAGAAGCAAACGTCTAGTCGAAGAGTAGTACTTATTAAGGCTCTATCCTTATCTTTAGCGAGGCATACTGCGAGACATTAGCAACACACTACTAACTAAGTCTATACACTACTAACCAAGTCTATATACTATACACTATATACTAAGCACAGTCGCTACAATCGCTACGATAAGCTCTTAGAACGACAGCAAGAAGGCTTCTAAGAAGCTAGCGCCGCTTAACCTATAGTAGCTATTATTTACCGAGCGAGTGCAGCGTCTCGATAAGGAAATGTAGCGGCAAGTCTACTAGCAATAGGTACAGCCGACGAGTGCTAGGTCTTAAGGAATGGCTTAAGCAGCAATCGAGCGAGAGGCTGCCGGTATAGAACGAGAGAAGTTTAAGGCAGTATAGGGACATTATCTAGGGCAGATACCTCTACTAATGTCGCCTAGATCCGCAGGAGGCAAGAAGGACAGCAAGAAGGGCTAAGCATATAGTGTTTCTAGTATTGATCTTAATAGTTAGAAAGGATTTTGTTAAAGATTCTAAGTAGAAAGTAGCTATATATTAAAGATTCTAATTAGAAAGCAGCTATATATTAAAGATTTTAAGTAGAAAGCAGCTATACATTAAGCATTCTAGCTTCCGGGCTAGCTGTATGTTAAAGATCCTAGGTAGAAAGTAGCTATATATTAACTATTCTAGCTTCCGGGCTAACTATAGGTTAGAGATTCTAAGTCGATTAAGACACTTTCTAGCTAACGGCGCTAGCAAAAGTGCTTAACACGATAACGAGCACTTCTAGCGGCAGATCCTTCGGCGCTAGGTTCTCGACAACGGCCTCGTACGAATGTACATTCGTTAGTATGTTCGGCAGCGCCGCGGTATTGCTAAGACTGTTTTTAGCGAAGTCGGCTACTTAGTATATAATACTGCTATCGTAGAGAGGTTTCTAAT